GTCCATCGAATGATGAATCTTTTCCAAACATTGGACTTCCGATAGGGGATCGAAAGCATAGGTAGCTCGCGGAATGGAAAAGCAGGCCGACGTAGCTGTCGAAACTCGGTCATGCCAATGCCACAGAGTAGTGATCGAGGTTCGGGAAGGAGATGCGGCTCACCTCGAAGAACGCCTGTCTCTCGAATTTTCGACCTTCAAGGCCTCGAAACCGCGACCGAGATCACAGATTTAGACGAACAACTCGGGACACTGAATTACTATATTCGGTCCCCGGAGTAACCTAAAACAGGAATAAACGTGTTTTTCTGTCGAATCAATCATGTGTGTTTCCTTAGCCGACCAGAAAAAGCTCGGGCTCGACGTCCGAGATAGACACCTCTCACCTTTCCTCCGATTCGAGGAGACTCGATTGTCGTAGATTCTTGTCCACTCAGGATACGGTCTTTCCCCCCTCCCAGCAGAGGCAATACGTGAGGACTTTCAGAACCTGATTTCAGATTTCAAGATAATAGCCTCATTGATTTCTTGTAAAATCCCCTCAAGCCAGGCATCCATGGACGCAGATCAAGTTAGATCTCAGGGAGTGTCCCCAGACCACATTTCGAGTTTTGAAGAACAGCTCCGGATTCGGTTCATCTACGAGTTCAAGCATAATTCTCAGAGCTTCTGGGGACGGCAGCGCTCCTTCATGAGATCATCCCGCGCGGCGTACCGACAGCCAAACATCAGGCAGAAGCAAACTGCCTTTCCTAGGCGAGGGGGACATTCCATTGCGTTGCGTGAGCGGAATGCTGCTTCCGCCGACGTGGGTTGCGACGTGTTCCCGAGCAACGTGAGTAATTTATCACCAGCTTCGGCTATAGTATGCCGCATTGAGATGAGCTTGCGGCTTGAATGGCGCTACGTAGTCTATTCGGCTCGTCACAAACCTCGGATAATAGATTCCCATCCACGATGAGACTAATCACGATCATCCGTTTATTCCCCTTGTAAAATGGGATCGAATGAGAGGCCGAAACGTCGAGGGAAGACATCATTGATTTCATGGAGAGCTGGATTTCCCCTGATGACACGGCACTCTCACAGAGAATTGTGAAGTTTTGCCGTCACCTCATGGTGTAGAGTACGAGTTTAAGAGCAGAAATCATGGTCGACTCTGTTGTTGAGGTGGGAGGCGAGTCCAGACACTTCTATTTCGACTGCGCGCGGGGTAGAGCTCCTCTATAATTAGCATCTTCGATCGGAGTCTTGTGTTGTGGCAACGAATTGCCCTCAGCGTCGCTCAAGCAGGGAGCGAATATTTTTGCTCGAAGCCAGATATCGGGCGTAGTCGGCTCTCGGACGAGAACGATCTTAATGACGAAAGGCAGTCCTAGATGTTTGTTCAGGTCTCTCAGCTGGGATTGCTAGCAGATGAAGTCTTCCCGGCGGAATGGCAGCGAGAATGGAACGTTTCCATGGACTTTTCTACAGACCTACATGAGTCGTCGGCAGGGCGCATTATGACCGTTGTGATCGCATTTTCAGAGATCCGAGGAATCAAGGCACCGGATGCGTACTCCGGCATGATGAGGGAGTTAGGCCAATCGTTAGCTCAGAGGACATCCACAAATATCCCAAAGGGAAAACTGATATCGAGAGAATCTGTCTCCCAGAGAGAATCTATGCCGGTATCTTATTCGGTCGAGCTCCCCCCCCCCTCCCCCGCCCCATGGCAAACCTATCGGGTACTTGTGCTCAGGATCGGCGAATCTCATGCCGTCGAATGAATCCTCGGCTGTTCGAGATGAGCGTGAGGATCACAGATGATTAGACGCGGGTTCCCGTCCCGCTAATGGATCCTGCTTCTAAGAATATTCTCTTCGTCAGGGCAACTTGCGAAGCATCGCTGAGGTACGAAGAGGCTCAGACATGAAACGAGTTCTCGCTTGCATCGCGAAAGCACGTCATTCATTTCAGCTGAGCCACGATCACGCGAACCGTACCGCCAATGTTCCTGGAGCCGCTTCGAGGTCCAGCCTGGGCTCATGAGCTTGCATCGATCCTGAAACTGCCTGATCGCGGGGGGACGGAATCCATGGGGATTTGACTTCTGCGCGTCAGAATCTGCTTTCCGACTCCAAAAGCTTCCCTCGGGCAGCGAATCCGTTGGTGACCCATGCTCCGGAGAAGCAAAGATCAGACTTGCAATATTCGGCTGGTCGACTCAGACGCTGAAACACCCCGGCACAAAAAGGATGACTCGTGGAAGAGCCCGAAACCGTAGGCCTCTCATGCCGAGTGTCGGTCGAATCCTCGATGGGTGCCCTCGCTCGCGTGCAGTCTCAATGGACGGACCAGCTCGCTGAATTCGACTTGGTTCCTCCATCGTTCTTCTCACGGGTCATGTCGTAGATTATCAAACTTATCGTGAAGATCGCTTGCAGCGCAATCATGACGCGGTATCGAGTCAAGGATTCACCCGACCAATCACGGAATGAAAGCGACTTCGACAGGGTAGATTTGAAGAAAGTTCTGGACACCAAATCTCGTCTGATCAATCGACCCCGGTTGGAGATGAATTCCAATGAGACGAGAGAGTTACAGTGGCCCACAAGGAAGAGAAGCAGCAGGTCAGCGAAGAAAATAGCCGTGAAGTATGCGACATCCGGATCCGGGTTCTCTACTCTCGCCCAAAATTGGCGGAGATTCACCGCGATCGAAAATAAAGAGCTCAGGTTGAATAAAGTTTGAATGTCCGAGAGGTAGCTCTCCACCGCTAAAAAGTTCGCCATCAGGATCCTCAGATGCTGCCTCGAGTTCAAAATGAAGCTCCCTCGATTCGCAAAACATTTCACGTAGGATTTGAACGCGAGGCACACCCTGGCGTAGAACAAGGCCTGTGACAGTCTGATGGTGGTACACAGGAAGCTCAGCGACCAATCCAAGTAGCGGAAGACTTTGAATAGGAGACCTGAGTAATTTCGACGCTTCTCGAAACAAAATAGGTAAACCGTGAAATAGTCTTCGTTTTCAAAGCTTTCCAGGTCCACGTACATTGCAAGAGCTGTGACACCGTAGAGAAATATCGAGGAAAAAATATAGGCCGTGAAGATTCTCTCATAGTCGAAATCCTTCACTGCTATCTGGGAATCACCGGGCCCGTTTCTCCGTTTTCTGCGCGAGAGTACGCAGCTCGGGAGCTTCCGTCTCATGATTAACACACTGACTATAAACGTTATGAGAGTTCTCTGGAGAATCGCTACGGTATCGAGCATGTTCATGTACGACACGAAAACGGCAAAATAGAGACAAGAAACTCGTCCAGACGCATACATGATGAATTGAAGCGTCGGACAAAGGAGTTCCAGCAGTCGAAGAGGCACGACGAGTTTCCTCAGCCAGCGAGCAGCCGGGCCCGCTTTCGCCGGGAAGTACATCGAGTCCTCGCAGTGCTGTAGCCCGACGGTTGAGGTGTGTCCCGAGGGCTCCGAGACCCGTCGCCTACATAAAACGGTCGCTTTTAACGCTGCGTAGGATTTTCAGGCAAACGATCGCTTTCTAGATCGACTGCAAACAGTTGAGCTGCTCAGAGTACGCTCCGAATCGCCGATTAGAGTGTGAGAAACTGCCATTGGGACAAAGTTGGGATCGTCACAGTTGTGTTTCGTCGTTGGTCGTGGCGTGACCGAAGAGCAGTTGGCGATCCGAGCTGTGTTCGGATCGATTGCTTTCACAGCGATTTTTCGAGCTCCGAGAGAGCGGCGGAATTTCTCGAGAGGGAGCGGTGATCGGGAATAGTGAAAGCTGAGCGGTGCGTTCTATCGAAACACTGGAATTCGCAATTCAGTCATTGCTCGAATTAGTTAACTTTTCAATTCAGTAAACACTCTTCAGGCTCCCGACCGTTCTCTACGGAAGCACAATGTTAGAAGCTCTCGATTCTCGATTCGGTCGAATTCGATTTGACAAACATCACGATTTCGTAATAACATTCATGATTTCCCGGTCCATAGACGGACTGCTTCTGCAAGAGTGAGCATAGAGTCCAGTTCAAGTGTCAAGGACTCTCGTAGCATCATGTCGCCTGACCAAGGAGCACGTCCAAATCCGCAATATGTTCGAGAGAGGGGTATCTCTGTGTGCTCACATCATTCGCGCGATTCAAACAAAAAATGTGTCGAGGAGTGAATAAAAATTAATGTACGGTGCGTACTTTGAGGAAAAAGTGATTGTCACGCCTATTCCTAATGGTGTACATCATCTCTCGATTCTGTCAGCCGCTCGCGGTTAACAAATTCTCCGTAGCGTGTGCACAGAATCAAGCACTGACAATGAATGTTCGTTGTATACCAGAACCAGCTTGGCAGAGCACTACTATGTTAGTCGGTCGATATCGCCCATCATTCTACAATCTATAAGGAACTCCTCGATTCATCGTTTCCGATAGCATGTATCAAGGAGAGAATCGGAAGCGACAATATTCCTACATCGGCCTACATCGGTGGACGAGCAATGAATGGATGACCAATGAGACGATGGGGTGTTAATCAAAACAGGGTCCATGATCTCCATCTTGCAGGGTTCCCGACGCCACCTTTTCGAATAACGGTGAACCAGAGGGCCCCAAGAAGCGTGAGCCGCGCGAAATGAGATTATAGACCCAGGAATAGGCACCTATGATGGGAATGATCTAGGCCCGTCCAAAATCATCGAAGTCCCCTGAACTACCGGAGGAACGAGCGGGCAGCGTACAGAATTCTGTCTCTCGTATATCGGAGTGTTCGATTAGAACGAGCAGAAGTGAGAGTTCAACCATACAAAACTCTCACTGACCCGGAAAATTTCTCCGGGCACGCTTCCTTCATGCTACCGCCTCATCGATTGTGGTTTTCACATTACTTGCCAACGGACTCTTCCATTTGAGGCATGACATGGATCATCCGCGGCGGTGATCAGCGCGGTTGCGCGCGGTCTCCACGGGAAAGGCGACGCTAGCGCCCTCTGTAAACAGAAGCACATGGCTCAATCCCCCTTCAGATCTGCATCGATACGAGGGATTACAAGTGTCGTGATTCTGTGCTCGGAAGCCTCTAGCATCTGATTGAGAGGTTTTATCGAAGTATCAGTGTTCACTTCAGGCCCTGCACGTGAGGCGTGCGTGGACTGCTGTCGTCTCGAGGAGTACAGTGCAAAGCAGCTCGAAAATGCGTTCGAAAAAGACACAGAAAAAATCGCTGAAGCGTATCGGTTCTGAAAAATTGAAGGAGCCGGTTTCGAGCTCGAAAGAGAATGTCAAGAAAGCCACCAAGGTCATGCTGTTGAAGAACAAGAAGAAATCGGGCAAATCTCGCGATCAGAAACTTGTGGAAACCTACGGCGGTGAGCTGGTCGACCTCACCGATCTGACCGCCTGGGGTGACTTCGATGCGGAGTACGACGAACCTAGGGACGAACGCTACAAGATGATGAAGAAAGTGGTGAGTTAGTTACTCTTACTGCCGGTGCCTCCTTCCTGTGAGCCAAACTAGAAAGGCTTGAATGAACGGAAGCCTTCATGAGGATTCTGACGAATCCGATCAGAGATTCCTCCAAAGGCGCTGGTAGCATATTCACATGTCTGATTTTTCCTCCCTTCAGAAAGGTGATCAAGCCCAAGATACAGGATTCGAAGACGAAGAAGATTCCGACGAGGAGCTCGGTACCGAAGACGATAGCTTCCAGCTGAGACTTGCCAGTGACTCTGAGGATGGGGATGGCGTGGAGGGAGATGAAACATCTGACGACGAAAATGACGAGCCGACCGACTTGAGTGAATCCGTAGCAGAGCTTGTCGATGAAAGCATGGACTGTGGCGATGCGGAGGCAGATGACGACGGAGATGAGCCGCTTGAAAAAATGCCCTTCAAGGGTCCACTGGCCGTGAAAGTCCGGCCCCCGAAGAAACGGAGGCCGAAACCGTCGTCTCTACTCGATGGGGTGGACACGGATAGTGACGGTGACCGAACGAAGGATGACGAAGCCATGGAAGTAGCCGAAGCGGGGGAAGATCAAAGTGGAGCCGAGGAAGACGTCTCAGTTGAACTCGACGACGCGGAGAAGGCTCTCACCAAGGAATGGGAGATTTTCGAAATCGAACCTCGTATCCTCAAGGCCTTGGCCCAGCTGCGATACACCGAACCAAGCGAAATTCAGAGCCAATGTCTAATCCCAGCCATCCGGGACAGGTGAGTGAGTGGGTTCAGGTAGGACTTTCGGGCGCAAACCCAGAGTGCTCCGCTAGTCTGGGCGAGACGAATAAACCCTCCTCCTGAGGTCGAAGGAAATGGAACTAGGTATCTATAGTTTGAAGGGAATATCCATGAGAACGTACCTCCGATCGCTCCGGTACCGGATTCAGCAGAATATCCGCGTCAACTCTGATGATATTCGTAGGTTGGACATACTCGGTGCGGCCGAGACTGGTTCTGGAAAAACACTAGCCTTCGGAATACCCCTGGTCCATCGCCTCTTGCAAGAAAGGTGCAGGAACAAGCTGGGCGCGTTGATACTGACCCCGACCAGAGAACTCGCCGTTCAGATAAAGAAACATCTCATGGATATCACAAAGGTTTAAGTTCTTGCCGACGAGAAAATGTTTAATCGAGAAGCATGCGACATTGGATGATCGAGAGGGAACCTCTGCCGCGATACTAACTCATTGAGATATTCACTTCAGTTCACAAATCTGCATGTCGTGTGTATTGTTGGCGGTCTAAGCCACGAAAAGCAAACAAGACTCCTCGCGAAAAGACCAGAGATAATCGTCGCTACACCGGGTCGTTTATTCGAACTCGTGCAAGAAGATCCCCAGCTTCAGGAGCAGCTGATTTCCGTCAGATGTTTGGTGATAGACGAAGCCGATAGGATGATCCAGAAAGTGAGTTTCTCGTGAAGCGTCGTGGCTGAGAATGCAAATATCCTTCGGAACCTCGAGCACTGACCGAAACTCAATTTCTCAGGGACACTTCGAGGAAATGCAACTGATTCTGAAATTCATGAACTCAAACCGCATCGGGAAACGCCAGAATTTGGTGTTCTCTGCGACTCTGACCATGGATCCCCACCTGCCCGAGCGAGTGATAGAGAGAAAGAAGAAGAAAAGAACAGGGAGACTGGATCAGCTCAAAGCCATGCTCGGCATGACGAAACCGAAAATCATAGACACCACGAAAAAAATCGGTGAGGATCCCTTCAGTCTACTATGAGGGTATCGGCCGTTCAAGAGAGGTCCTCGGTCGGGACTAGATAGACGTCGATCACGGATTCGCGAGCTTCGGCAAATTTTATTCACCCCGATATACACAATGATTCATTTACATGAAATTATTGACGGTCCCGCAGTGTCAGAGTAGCATGTCGTCCAGGAAGGAATCGAATTCGTCCTCGAGGTTCGGCTCATCCTCCTTCGCGATCGGTTTCGCCCAGGGGTTCTCGTCTTCGAGGCGTTTCTCCTCGAGAACCTTCACGCGAATCTCCTCGTCGGAATCCGAACTCTCAGATGAGTTCGAAGCTCCGTCTTTCCGACTCTTTTTCCTCTCTTGCTTTTGCTGCCGGATTTCTCCGAGTGTTTACGTTTTTCACTCCGACCACCCGCATGCTTGGTGCGATCTTTCGGTTTCTTGGTAACCTCACGCCGCTGTTTGCCATGATTCAGTTTCCGGGAACAGCTCTCGCATAATCTCACTTTGACAAGGGCGTTCTTGCGTTCGCCATGCTCGACGTAGGCGAAGTTCACCTCCCAACTCCGGAGACCCTCCTCGTTTTTGCAGTGCTTCTCCCCGCAGCTGAACTGACCTTTTCCTATTACGACTTCCTGTTCGGTCCTCCATCGGAACGCGATTTTCTGTTCCTTGTACAGTCTGAGATCTGTGATGCAGTACTCTTTGAAGAGTTTCTCGTAGTACTTCTTGGCGAGACGTTCCTCCCAAGTGAGTTGACTTGTGTCCACGTCATCCCACACGAATCGATGATTCTCGCGCAAGGCGTCGGCGTCGGTTCTGTCTCGCGAGGGATCTCTCCGGAGTTTCTCAGCCTGTCCCTTATAGCAAAGGAAATACTCATTGATGAGTTTTTTGTGCCGGCTGTAGGCGTCGAGGAGCGGTTCTGCGTAGCGGTCCCGGAGTTTTGCTTCTCTCAAGTATTCTTGTTGAGCGTGTTCTTTGACGTCTTTGAGTCTGACAGCGGTGTTTACCGCGGTCGAGGTCCCGGCAGTGAGAGGATCTCTCTCAACTTTTTTCTTATGTTTTCCACTATCGCTTTCGAAAGCAGAATCGTAGTCGTTGCCAGTGCACGAAACGAGGTTGTCGTTGTATTCGAACTCCGACATCTTGAGTTGGTTCAGTAGACGCTTGAGAGAATCGATGCGAGATCGTCCATTGAAGACAGAAAGCAGAACACTTGCTCGTTGCAGCTTTCCCGCTCGCCCAGCTGAGAGCTCTTCAAGAGGAACCAGCGTGTTCTGTGTTGATGTTGTTGAAGCAGGGATGTCCTCTCTCTTGTTGAGCTGAAATTTTTCGTCTGCTTCATGATTGCTAACGCGCGATGCATCGTTGGGTCAGGTCATCTCGTCGGAGTAGAGAAATTCGCCAGAGAAACGAAACGGAGTCTCCGAACGAAGTCATCGAATTCTGAGAGATTCATGATCATTCTTTTTCAGGCACGGCAGAGACCTTGACAGAGTCTCGCATCTATTGTGAAAAACCTGAACAGAAGGATGCTCTACTTTATTACTTCCTCAAGATGCATCCAGGACGAACGCTGGTTTTCTGCAACTCTATCGACTGCGTTAGAAGGCTAAAATCGGTTCTCGAAGCCCTTCGAATGAAACCGATGGGTCTGCATGCGGAAATGCAGCAGCGACAGCGATTGAAACATCTTGACCGTTTCGCGGCAACTCCAAATTCGGTGTTGATCGCGACCGATGTAGCCGCTCGCGGTCTAGATATTAAAAACATCGAGCACGTCATTCATTTCAATGTCTCCAAAGCTTCGGAAACCTATATCCATCGAAGTGGGAGAACAGCCAGGTCCAAACAGAGTGGGCTCTCGGTAATGCTTGTCGATGGCCGAGAGCTCCCTCAATACCGTAAATTATTGCACGCGTTGAAACGAACGGACAATCTCCCGCCTTTTCCCGTTCAAGAGAATATTCTGAAAATCTGCAAAGCTCGCGTCGCTAAAGCCCGCGAGCTCGAGACGCTACAGTATCGCCAGAAAAAGGTACAAAAGTCAGACGGATGGTTCGCCAAATGTGCGAAAGACGCCGATATTGAGCTTGACGAGAATTTATTGAAATCGAGTGATTGGAACGAGAACCGCAAGGCTAAAGTCAAGGTGGAGTCGGTGAAACGTGAGTTGGACGCTTTACTCAGTAGGCGGCTGGTGCCTTTGAATCAGAAAGTGGGAAACGCTCTCGATATTCCAGACAAGGATCCCCTCAAGCTCGTGAGGGGAGCTAAGGGCACGCTGGACTAGTTTCTATCCTCGACGAGATTTCTATGATTTGAAAATAATAAAGGAAAGGATATGTGGATGCTAGCGGAGATCACGGACCTTTTTTTTCGATTCGAAAAGTCAGATGCTGACACGCTCTAATGGCGTCCCCCAGAACGGGGACCTTATTATTTATTGAACTATTATTTACAAGGCGGTTGTGACGAAACTTCACCGACTGTCTTGTACTCGGGGAGTTTGACATCTGAAGTTCGTGAAGCAAGTCTTCCTCCATCGGGTCCTCGATATTCTTATCGTAGACTGCACCCCGCGCCACGACTCCACAAAACGTAGCAGGAAACTCAGGAGAGCATGTTTCACTTGAGATTGCAGACCGCTAGGAGCGAATCTGGTGTCGGATCCCGCCCTCGGAACTTCCTGAAAGCTTCGCTTGGTGACTCGCAGCCTCCGTCGAGGAGAATCGAATTGCAGAATCTGGAATTTCCGAGGAAGACAAAATTGAATTCGTATCCGATCCGGACGCGTCCCGACGGATTCGATGAATCTCCGTCGACGCCGCGATGCTCGTGCGTCGTAGCGAATCATACCGTCTCGAGACTTTGAGCGAGTCTTCCTCGGGGCATTCGCGCATCGCCTGGAATATCTCAGCAGCGAGCATGGGTCCCCATACGTGAGTGTAGTAGCCGGCTTGGTAGCCGCCGATAATGACCTCCCAGAAGCCTCCGAAGAGGAAAGTTTCGTGGAATTGCCACGGGAAAGATTTCACAATCGATGTGTAGACTTTCTTGGTGATATCCTCGCTGAAGTCTTTCCTGCGAGATAAATTACGCGTCAAGCTCTGGCATTGAAGATTACCGGTAGGGATGGGAGTCCGGAAAATAACGGGGAGCCCCCTCAAGTGGATGAGCGACACAACTCACGTCGAATAAAACTCGAGGTCTGCCAAACTCTTGAAAAGCTCAATCTGCATATCGACGGCGTACAAATGCAGCTTCTGTTCGACGATCCTCTTATGATAGTCGTCCGGCAGGGCTTCGTTGGCCGAGAGCATCCTCGCGAATCGTTTATCCAACAGAAGCATGTCGAAGAACGTAGGGCACACCTCCGAGACGTCATGCGGGAGGTTCGCGAGACCTGCGGTCTCACTGTAGCGGGCTCGTGATAGGGTATGCTGGAGAGCGTGACCCATCTTCCTGAGGAACTGGCTCAACTCGGATAAACTGACGTGGGTTTGATTGTTCAAACTCATCACCACGCTGGTCGAGGGTTGGACGCCGGCGGCGGCATTCGCGGCTGCAAGGGAAAAGCTCGATCAGATTTCGCAAAAAATAGTCACGGATTGCAAGAGTGATGATGGGTCTTCTCCCGGGCGTATGAACCTCGGAGAGCCTCTCTCGTTCCAGAGGGCGATTATCCTAGGACATGAGGCTCAGTCGATGCTCAATGATTCTGAATTTCAGTCGCGGAGGAGCCCGGTCACAGTTCCGTCCTAATGGGATCGCTGAGTGCGATGTGACCAAAATCAAATCTCAGCAGAAATATCCTCACCTCTGATGACGGTGCAGTAGTTTCCTAGCTTCTTCTCACTTCTGGCTTGAAGATCCAGGAAAATTTTCCCTACTTCTTTCCCTTCGACGGCAACGTTGAACACCGTGATATCTTCAGCCCACAGAGACTCTTTCGGCTTGACTTGCCTGAGCTCCACACCGAATAGCGCATCCACGAGTCGAACCATGCCCTGTTTTAGGGAATTCGATGACGTCACTCGTGAATCACATGAAGTAATGAGACGATTCCAAAATGAGAACGCCCGGAATTTCGACTCACTTCGATGACAGCGGGTAAAGCGAATAATTGTTTGAGATCTCCCTCCTCTATGGCGAGGTTCGCGTCGCGGTAACGTCTCCTCCAATAGGGGAGGTCCCAGCGCTCCAGGGGAACTTTGAAACCTTTCTGAGCACAGAAGTCTCGAAGTTCAGTCATCTGCCGATCAGCGACAGGGGCAATGCTCTTGGATAAATCGAACAAAGTTTTCTGTACGGCTCCAAACGAAGGAGCCATTTTCGTTTCCAGCGAGTACTCTGCGTAGTTATTGAACCTGCGAATGAATCGTTGCGGGTGACATCCAAAACCTCAGACGTTCCAGATCCCAATGGCTGATCCCAGGATGAGCGGCAATAGACTGCCTTACCCGAAAAGCTTGGCCATGAAGTGTCTCGACACCCGGATCGCCTCTACTTCGTCGATGTTGTATCGGCTCTTGTTATTCATCGAGCAGCGGATAGCTTTCGCCTGGTAGAGATTCCATCGCTCTTGTCGATCGCCGCAATAGGACAGGAAAATCGAGAACTGAGGCTCATTCAGAGTGACGATGAAACCCGATGATGTGGCAAAGTGGTGCAGAAGATATTCCGGGAAGTTTTTCATGATCGCGCCGTCGATGCGATGTTTGAAAGCATTCGTAGCGTCGTTCAGCTTGCTGTTGTAGATGTAGCTGTTCTTCTGAATGCTCGCCTGGTGCTCCCTCAGGGCCTGGGCCTCATCTCGATTCAGATCGAGGCCCGAAAGTTTGCATTCCAATTGGTACTTCCGAATGAGCTAGAGAGATGAAACGATTTAAAAAAATAGCGGATCGATCACTTCATCGGAAAACTGAGGCATTGGGGATGGAGGGGCTTCGGGGAACTAACCTGCTGCTGGTCCGGCTCAAATTTATCGATCTCTTTCTGGAAGTCTTTGACTATGCTGTACAACACTTGTGACTGGAAGTGTTTCTTGATGGCGGCTCGGAACTTACCGTGGAGTCGTTTGAAGCCGTCCGTGAACTCTGCTTCGTTCTGTATCTGATGAAAACAACGGCCGAGAGTGAAAACTCCAACAAGCTTCGGTTCCATTTCGTACAATCTATTAATCCCGCAGAGTCGCGATATTCAGGCCTCCCGGGTGTTTCCCAGAGCTTTCAGCGCTCTCACTCACCAGGGTCAGATGCTTGAAATTATGCCAGGCCTTCAGAAGCGGAACTTGAAGCTTATCCACCTCTCCAATGGTTGTCTCGAAAGTTTTGGGGTAGTCGGGATCTGCGATCGTACGCTCCGTCAATTGAGGTCCCCTTCTACCCATCACGCCCCGGATGCAATAGCCACTGGTCTATTTCTCCAATGATAGACATAGGTACCTTGCAGCTTTTCCTCAAGCTCTTGGATCGAGTCCTCGTACTCGAAAATCCTCTTCGCCAATCCGTTGTAAGCCATTTCCCCAGTGATGCCCTTGTATTGAGGGATATCACCCAGCCGCAAGAAGCTGTTCGTATCCGGGGTGTCATCGGGAACCTCGGGAAGTCTGCGGACATAATCAATATTTCAATGGAGATTCCTCAAGACCATTCTCCGGGACACTATCTCCGTCGGGAATCGGCCAGGACCATAAATTGAGCGCGGATGCGGGGCAAGTCTGTCACTTCGCGAAATGGCGTTCCGGCCGCTCTGATTTGACCCCCAGAGGGTTTGGAGACGTTACTCGACTGGCTCGGTGCGCGGAATGGCAGGAGAAGCTTCCGGAGCGCTTCAAAAAGAATGCCGGAGAACTTCGGGAAGACCCGCATCCTATGAAACCGACGGGAAGAGCTAGTGTACGATCTTGACTCACAATACATAATAGCCTGCCGAAGTTGTTCTACTCCTGTGCTGTCGAATCGGTAGCGCACATCTTTTCACCGATCTGAACAAGTATAGACTCCTGAGAAGGCCTGGCATGTTCTCCGTTACCAAAGAACTTCACCACGCACCCAGGACACGAGATTCTCCGCACAAACAAGAGATGGAAAGAGTCGTTCTCTCTACCGGCACTTGGTCTAGGGTTGACGGGTACCGCTCCCACGGTCGCGATGCACCGCGGGTAATCTGATGGTCACTCCTCAGGCTCTGAGGCATTAGATTTCGGAGAGAGATTTCATTGCAGGGAACGATGTTGCTCCGGGAGATCGCGATGATAAGCTCCTCCGCCATTGGCTTCGGGAGCAGATCGAACTTATCAAATCAGACTCATCACTGGAATACTTGAAGCCTTTGCGTCGATCGAGCAACTCGTTGCGGAGTATGCGATTTTCGTGTACGCGACGCATATCCTGCTCTTTACGGTTACCATGGAGAGATCAGTCGTCCATACAAGTCTGTGTAAAAGAAGCTTTCTGACTGGACCTATTCCAATCGTGCTTCGTTGTCCTTCACCCTCCTAATTTTCTCAGCTCATCATTTTCTCGGAATCTAATAGAACCTGGCTCCGGTCGCTTTTCTGCGGAAACGTGATAGGACTCCAATAGATACCGAGAAGAATCAACCTTCATATCACAGGACTGGGGTTATAACGGAAGTTTGCCGGCGAGAAAAGGTCGAGAATTTTCATAATCGGTGCACGGGACGCGCGGGATTCCGAGCCCCTTTGATTAGGCATGTTGTTTCAGGTCGGAGCAAAAGAGAGAAGTCACGTCACATACCATATGTACAGCTCGCGGAATGAGAGTCATAAATTGATGAAGGTCGACGCACTGATGGTGTTTTTGATTAGTATGCACTTGGGCATTGGCCCATGGGAAAGTGGATAACCCGGAGAGCAATCCCTCCAGGAAGGGTTTCCGAGGCCGCCGGTCGCTGGATCCGATCCGAAGCTTTCCTCGCGTGACAGCTCGTGCCTGACTGTGCGAATCCGCATGCCGACGCTGACGCGACGTGCGAACCGTTCGAACCTCTCCGCTATCCGACGCTGGATCTTTTAGAGAGCTCGGGCCATGAATTCGCGATTTTTCATGAATGAACGGCGTTCCATTCGTTTGTCAACAATCGTTGTTTTTTCTATGCCCTGTCGGAAGTCGGAAGGCACAGCCATGACGTCCAACACTGGGTCGCTGCATTCTGAACCAAGAATGCCATATGCTCAGAACTCCCCACCGAGTCCGATCGTTGCGATGGAGCAGAAGATTTGAAAGATATTACCAGGAGATGACTAGAATCAGCAAATGATTCTGAACGCTGGTGCTCAATCGGCCAGAACCTGACCGGATGCCTGCGCTATTTCTTACGCCATGATGATATCTAAGACCTTCCCAAAGAGGCCCTGAGCCCGCAGGGAGAACGCTATCGAGAAATTCTGCACCCGCTTACCTTTGGAGATATCGAATCAAGAAGGAGGCTCCCATGAACATGAATACTCCTCCGGTCGCTCACCTTATTCTCTCTCGCTCAGTGAAGTATCGAAGGACTCGATGTCCGCGACCCCCTCCACCTTTTCTTGAGCATCTGTCTTGAGGGAATGGCCTATCTATCGTCACGGCTTCGGAACCTCGAATTGGTATCCATCCCCGGAGAACTAGACTACTGAATCGGATCGCATGGAATCATTTATTCCGTAGTCTGACTTGAGATCAAAGACGCAGTCCAGACTCGCAGAGGCAGATCCAGAGTCTCGAGGCATACCGTGCAGATTTACGACAATATAGTTTCCACTTCCCATTTTTTTTAGTCTTCGACATTCAATTGGTATGTTCGATGATCGCGCAGATTTCCCGCCCGATTCCCCCCTGCCTCCATCGCTGTCTTGCCCTCGTCTCTGAGGATGACGAAGGAACTATCCGATCATTGAGTGACTGCACTCCCTTCCCGGAGACCGGTTATATCCGCTCCCACCGGTGATATCGTCATAATACCCCGTCGAAGCGTGGGTCCAATTTGACTTGGGGACTAGCAAGTAGCACGGGAGCTGGACTCGACCGTCTGAGCGAGATGTCCCCCCATGTTTTCCAGATCCCTTGTGAATTTCGGTGTCGAGACGATGGATATAGGCTTCAGGGTTCTGAATTGGATTCTCCACCCCATGGGTCGCATCGAGTTCTCACTGGAAGATATCCTCCTAAATCGTGAGATGCGGGTTCTAGAATATACACAAGGTGGAGGATCCATCTCATCCTTATTCGTCCTACAGGTTCTTCGCTCCGGGAATCGCCCATCTGAATGATTGCCTCGAAAATTCGCTCCGTCAGATTGAGGTGCTTTTCAGCTTGAGCCCCTTCACGCAACCTCGGAAACTGCCCTGGTTCAGGGCTGGCTGATCTGGAAAGATCAACTTGCAGGGGAGTTGAAGAAACCGCCCATGCCGCTCGGCACTGGTATCAGGCTGGGTCCGAATCTGACAGCATGCGCAAACCAGCACCGTGAGCGAAGACCGCCTGACTCTGTTTACCAAAAACTCGAGAAAGAGCGCCACCGAGGGCGCCACTTGATAGCCGGTGGACTTGTGTGTAATGCCTTAACACTTGTTCTCCTCTCTATTTTTGAGCGAGAAGGGCTCAATAATAGAGCAGTGAGATGATGACAACCCGAGTGAAGATTCGATGCTCCGACGACGTTCAGTAAAGCAAGAACTGCAGCTCTATAGTTTGAAGTAGCGTTCCCTGCAACCTGGAAATTTCGGCTTGCATGTGAATCTCGCGGGAGAAAATGGGTGAGTCAGCAGTCAGTCATGCCAGCTACTTGCCGTGGGAAGAGGCCACGCAGAGTTCATGTTTCGGCCAAGATACCCATCAGCTGAGAAGTCAAGCTTTGCGGGACATCGTGAGGATGGTCGAGTCGCCTACCTCGTGATGTATTGCGAGCTGAAGGCTTCATTCACGAAATCATTACCCTCGTCCTAATCAGGAAATCCCCATTCGAATTGAATATTTCCCTCTAGGCGATGAGGTGTCGACAGACGGACCCTCGCCGGGGTTGCCAACTAGAGAAGAACTGAACGAATCGACAGACAACACCAATGGAGTTGACAGAGAGGATGCTCGAGCTAACAGCGCTTCACCCGATGAAGCCTCAATCAGAGTCGAGGAGAGGTCGGACGGGATCGACCCCAAAATCGATGACCTAGCCCAAGCTCAATCACTTTCGGTGGGCGCGATTCATAAGCATTACTGCAAAGATCTTCTAGAATCGGCGAACACACTTCAAAGTATATGCAACGTTCAGGACACGTCTATCACGCTCATCGAATACAAGGAGAAAGTTCTCGTGGAGCTCCGTGAGTCCTATCAGTTGGAGGAAATTCTCGACGAAGCACAAAGGTCAGTACCGACACGACTGAAGGAGTCTCTCTCTCTCTCCAAGCAGTGAGTCTCTGAAAGGTAGTTGCCTCCTGGATCTCGCCGCTCTGCGGTCCGGAGTCATCGATCCGGATTGATAATTTATTACAATTCCAGGTACTACAATAAATTGGTCGGCCTTAAGACAGAAATGGCTGCACTGAGCAAGAAGTCCAGAGAGCTGACTCGGAGAGCAGCCTATGTGAAATCTGTGCAAGAGAAAGAAAGAGCCAAAAAAGAACAGGAAAGGAGACGCCTCGAGCGAATCGAACAGGACCTTGCGCCGCGATACTCATCGGATCTGGCGTAGCTCTGATTCACTGGTCGTTCACTGTGATAGGAATGTCTTTGAGACTGGCTCCACACGTCTGTGAGTCTTGAGTAATCGAATGTTCCATCAGAGTTGTACCTGAGTCTGCGGTTGTGTGATTGCGAGTCCATCGGCGGGGTTCAAAGAAGTTTCTGCTTATTGAAAATCACCGGGTTCCGTGTCGGGTCCGCGTATGAGTCAGATCGAGTGATAAAGATCAGTTCGAATATCATAGGTACTTCTCTTTTTCGAGCGTTGAGGCATGCTTGTGTCGAGAGTAGGTTGATTGAACCGGCTTCTGTAGGTCGGTACCGGTGCTTATTTCTCAGAAACAAAGATAATATAATTTCATGATTATTCTGGACTTCGATCGCGCGGTCATGGCTTCGAGAGGGACCTTTCGCAACCCGGCTCATGCGACGTCTGACGGAGTTTACCGAGCGCTTTCGGGAATGCGAGGAACCAAAGTTGAAACTCATGTTGAAGAAATATATCGATGTTGTACACTCGTGAAGATCGTACCCTTCTTCATCGATGATAAAATTATCCCGAGAAGACGGAACCTGACACGGCCTCGTCTCAGATTACGAGGTCGGAGAAATTCCCCCTGGCAAGCTACCTAATTCCCCTCTCATAGTATATCCCCGGTCATTTCTGTGACTGAAATTCATTTGCGAGCTATCGAGCCCAGGAAAGTGTTCTAACTTTTAGGAAGGGAGGTGAAGAGGCTCCACCTGCGCATTGTACCTTGGACGGAATCGAGGAGCAATTATTTCTCTCTTTCAGACGAACTTAAAGCTTTATTTCAATACATTTCGACATTCGTCGGTGAGTGAGTAGGTAATACTTTCTTCTCGATACACGGAGTGACTCCGATTGCTTCGCAAGCCGATAAAATCCCATAATCAACTCCTGCGCAATAATTCCTCTCCTGGTTGTCTCCTTCGACCATATCCGACTTGCCGGTCCGTGTTCTGATCGGAAGGTAAACTATCCTGAACATACCCAGAATGAGAATCACGGTAATCGCTGATAGCGTCTCGATTTGGAATCCCGTATGCCTTTCCAATCTTTCCTGACTTCAACTTTTTTGCTCCACGTAGTTCGAATGAGGGTTAACTTGAGACCGAGTTTACTTCGCGCCTCGGCCGACTGGCCGTTGATTTTTCCCGCCTGACCGGACCCCGCGTTTCTCGATGCTACAGTACCGCGCCTCGACTCGAGCACCTGATCTACAAATGCGGAGTAGACTCGACTAACGAATAATAGCTAAACCCCCCGAGATTCTGCTTGACCTAATGTTTACAGCGGCCTCTCGGAACGTCCTGTATGTAATAATCACATTCGAGTACTTCCACCCCACGGGAAAGGAAAAATGTAGTCACAGATCGCCTCGGATTTCTTTGCCCCGATCATGAGAATATCCTCCAATTTCCGCATTGTTTTCCGACGCCCGCCTGAATCATCTCCATGACGATACTCATCAGTGACCCAATGATCTGAGCGAATCAGTTTTTCTCCTCCCCTCCCTCCCCCGCCCCTCCCCCGAAGTGACATCTTGAACTCAACTATCGAAAAAGGTGCTATCGTGAGTGCATCATGTTCACGAGTTTTGTTGTTCGATGAATCCGGCGAAAACCTTTCGAGACAAGAGCAGGACTTCGTCTGAGGACGATTCCGGGCATGGGAACAGTTGTCAAGCGAAATCCATCTCGTGCTGTCAACGCAAACGCAGGGATAGGGAAACTTCACGTGGGGGACATGACTGAGGTGGACTTCTTCCCTCGGCACCGACATCGACGGGCAGCAGATCTAGTCCTATGCGCTTTCGATCCATAACTAGCGACCGGTAAAGCTAAGCATTGTGGAATCTTCAGGTCTCCGCAAACGCGTTGAATAGATACAGTTCATTGAGGAGCCATGAAATACCACCACTTCTCTCCGTCAACATCTCGGAAGGGCGGTTTCCACGGTATCGATTTCACGATTGGAATGATGCATCGATGGCCTAGAATAGTTCTCCTGAAGAGCCAACTGAGATCTCCAGCATGGATTCGGTGATCGATCCTCAATCAAATATCACTCTATTAGTTTTCGCGAACCAGAGCTCTTCCACTCGTTGTGATAGGTGTGACCGGTGTCGCATTGATTCGATGACTTCGTTCCACAAGAATATCGTTTTCCGCGTCGTCTGACCGTGGTCACCAATCCTCTCGCCTGTCCCAGGGAATGGTTCCAACAGAGGACCATCCGCTCGAGCTTACTTCCCTTCTGCCCAGAACTCGTCCAGCCTCGACCTCGCCATGTTCAAGTCAGCTGGTTTCGGAACGACTTTGGCAGCCGGACCGCCCCCTCCGATGGTGCTGTGATCAATGAAGGACTGCGCCATGGGATCCACGGGAGCGGTTTTCGGAGCCACGGGTGTGGGAGCGACCGACGGGATCAGGGGGGTAGCCATGGCCAAGGGTTTCACGTCGGGAACTTTCCTCTCGACTGCCACCGGCTTAGCGACAGGCTCGGGAACGGTCGGCTTGGTCTGCGGCTGAACGGGCTCGGACGCTGCGGGAGCAGCCTGAACTGGTTGAGTGGGGGTAGGTGTAGGTTTGAGGATTTCGGCCGGTTTCGGAGCTGCTCCATTCTTCGCGACTGGGGAAACCACCGGGAGTGTGGGTGCTTTCGCGGGTGGAGCAGCGGCGGGAGAAGATGCCGATGTCGCGTGTCTCGCGGGGGCGGAGGGTGTCTCTGCATTTTTCGGAGAAATCTTCTCGGCGGCGGGTTTGCTGTCTTTGCCGCTATCTTTCGCCTTTGAATCTGTAACAAGCAGGGCATGACCTTTATCTCAAATCCTGCTCACCCTCGGTACGATAGGGGTCACATCCTGAATCAGGAAATCCTCTGCATTCGACCGATAGCGGCCTCCTCGGTCGCTACATCAGTAGATACCCTATGGCGAGCTTGTAAAGATTTTCTCGGCCAGCAAAAGCTCTATGGAGCCCTACATAGAACACTCGCACGACCATAGCACGAAGAGACCTTCACACGTTACGAAGCCAGGCTTTCAGCAAAAGACGAAACACTAGTCCGAGTGCACGGAGTCCAAGTAATTATAGAATCTAGCAGGGACGACAAGAATCATGGTCTGGAGTCTGGAAGCTCAGGTATCGATCGTTTTTGAACTTGCATCCATCCTCACAAGCTGATAGACAGAGGATGCTCGATATTCGGAGAAGAGTTCCGAACATCGAGTGCTTGATGGGCCATGAGCCATGATTGATGTTGATTGATGATGCCTGAACCTCCGAGCTCCACTTATGCCACTTTGATAGCTTAGGGAGTCATCATGACCTTCCAGGGAAAGATCTCAGACTTGAATGTACGGAAAATGAATTCGGAGAAGGAACGAAGCTAAGTAAGAAATAAAGAAATCACTACGTTACCATACAAATATATCAGCAACGACGCACAACACTGACTGGGAAGCTGTCTGGGTCAGATAAAGAGTTTGAGTAGGTTAAGAACGAGTTCATTCCAGGCTCATATGAACACGATCATCATCAGCATCCGATGAGGGAGGCGGGCGGAGAGATTACACAGGAGCAGGGGTCGATAGATTCGTCGAGGGATACGGACTAGGACTCTGTCCAGAGGCAAACGGGAATGGGAACTCTGGTCACGGGTCTTTACTCGCGGCACAGTCGGGGGTCAACTCGTATACAAAATACAGCAGCGCTAGCGGTAGCAGCGATAGGGACAGCGGCAGCGGCGCACCGTCACAGCTAAAGCACGTCAAGTATCACAGTTCGGAGGCGCGCAGCAGCGGGCAGCGGAAGGGATGGAGAGTAGCACTCGTCATCACAGTCGATGGCTGACCTTCTCGTACACAATTCGCACGACGACCGGACCCCCTTTGCCATCAGGCAACTCGGGGATGCAGGCGAGGATTTTCTCGCCTAGAAGAGAAGATTGGAATGGATGCAACTACCACAACAACGACAACAGCAAAGCCGACATCATTTACAACGGCAGACAGACATTACAATTATTCCACATTTTAGCCATCACGAATCATGGAAATAGAATCGGCGATCAATCGCTTCCCAAAAGCGGCGAGTGCACGCATTCTCGGCCGCAACGAAAGCTTCCGGATACGGCAAGGTAGCAGAGCGAATCGGGAACTTGAGAAATTAATTCGACGGAAAGCATTCAATTCATGCAGCAGCAAGTACGAGACATTCGATCTACTCACCGATGGTCTCGCTGGGCGCGGGTTTGATCCATTTCTTTTCTTCCTTGATTTTATCCCCCTCTTTCGCGGGTGTGGGCTTCACCACTGCTCGCGGTTTTGGACTCTGAGCGAAGCAACTAATCAGAACTTCGGCGCGAATTGGCTAGTCAGGGCCGGAACCTTCTCTCCATACGGATAGGATACAGGAGCGGATTCAGTCGGAATATAGGCTGTTGAGTATTACCTGGACTTCTTTATTATCAGGGACTTTTTTCGCTGGAGGTTTCGCAGTCGGAGTTTTTGCGGCCGTCTTCGTGGGAGACGTTGCCCCGGTCTTCGAGTCTGGAACGTCTTTGCTTTCTGGGCGCCTACGTGAAACGCTGCGGCTTGTTCTGGGCTTGCTTGCACTCCGACCGGTGGAAGCGGTTGCCAACGCAGGTTTACCTGGCGAAGAAGCTGGAATTGAACACTGCGGTCAAAATATCAAAAGGAACCCGGAAAAGCGTGACGCGATACTCACTGTCCTTGTTCAGGGGAAAAGCGGGTCCCAGCGAGTGGAACCTGCTCTTCTGCCTGCGGTGTCTTGCACCGCTATCCACGGTATCGTGTAGCGTGAGTGCGGACACCGAATTACTCCAAATTAGGCGGTTCCTCTCGGAGGGGTAATCCGTCTCCCCGATACCCGAAGAACGAGATCGCGTCTTATACTCCTCTGCCTGGGAAGAAGAAAGGGTCGCTCGTTAACCAGAGCTTCCTGAAAGGCTCCTTGCCGGAGGAGTATCAAAGATTTCAGGGAAAAATCGAGAGCCAATCTGACGAATCGGATCCGGAAAAGAAAGGGAAAAAAATTCGAAACTTTTCTCGAACCTTGTGTATCCTCTCAGCGACCTCTGCATACCAGGAACTGGGTCCATCCGTTGTATCCAACGGGGTATTGCGATGCCATGATCCCGCACTGTACGTGTACTGTGAGAATGGTCGATACTCACTCGTGTATTCAGTCCATCTGTAAAGACAAGGAATAAAGTGAGCCGAGGATCTTTCAACGCCGGAACTCTAAACCAGCTCTGACGTGCTCTGGACACGGAGCGGAATGATAGGAAACGACCTGTAATCGCTCCGAACTTCCGATATGCAGGTGACAGGCTCCGAATTTCTCATATTTCTTGTTCTCTGGCGGAACAGTAGTTTTCGGCAAACAATTTTATTCTTTAAAAAAAATACGGCAGCCCTCTAATTCATCCGGTCGTCCCTCGGAACTGCTCACCTCGAATGGACACTATCAAAATGATTCCAATGCCGTATCTCGCGGACAAGGAAAATATCTCTATTTGTTCAGCCTAGAAACTCAATCGAAAGCCAGAATGATTCGGAATGTCACTAGTGACAGTGGGACCCTTGTTTTGCAAGGGAAAACTCATGCTCGACTCGTGTAAGCGAAGTCGAACGCGGCCTGACAACTGGTAGACAACCCATGTGTCATCGAGACCTAGCTCATGCCAGTTTCTATTCGAAAGTTTCCGGCGTCAGTCAGAACGCTAACGTTGCGAGAGACCGGCGCTTACCTCCAGGAATCGGCTGTTGGTGAATGTGGCATGGGAGCTCCGTTCGATGGAGCCGGGTGAGACTGGGACATGAGTCCACCTCTGAGAATATCGCGCACGTCGCCCATCCTTACTCGAGGATTCTGGAAAGATTCGAAGAGCAGCAGTTAGAGCCTTGCCTTCGTCGAGCCCGATAATTGAGCCTGGAGCTATCTGCGAACCGGTTTCGAGCGTGGCACTCCGAGGATTTCCATGCTAGCCCAGAACACGGCTGTCTGTGCCGAGCGACCGTCGGTCGCCGTGCGTTTCAGATCGGCCCATCTGTCGGAGCATGGACTTCTGAAAAACAGCTGTGGCCGAACGCCCGGGCTGTCTGGGAGAAATCGAGCGTTCACGCAAGTCTTCGCCGGCCATAACGTCGCTTAATGCTGCCCTACAGTAAACTCTAGTTCCACCAGACGACTCGGTCACTGACTCGCGTGCCGCCAGAGCGAGCTTTCCCCGAGAAACTCACTCGTTCGGCGAGTTGAAGAAGCTTCCGCCTGCCAGAGAGAGGCTGAGCACTCAGGAGGAAACCAATCAGAACAAGCCAATTAACGTAGAAATCGTCCCGATTGGCAGCCACTGTCCTATCGTACCGATATAGTAGATTCCAGCGCGCCGACGACGATCAGACCATTGCGTGCTGTCGGTGAACGATCGGCTGGGAAACACGTCGACGAACGGTCCGCGACCCTCTCCGTATGATGTGGGCCACCTTCTCCTCCGAGTGCAGCCGAGAACCCTTTCGTCTAAGCGTGAGCAGCCGGGATCGTAATGAGCTCGCGTCGTCAGAGGGGCGCGATCGAGCACATGCGGGTCGAGACTCCGACAAAACGCCCTAAAACACCAACGTTCACCCCGTCTGAGAAATTCTCCGGGCTCATTCCATCTGGAGAATGTCACTGAAGATTCCGGAATATGGAGTGAATGTGTAAATTAAGGCGCCTCTGAATTGAATTGATTGGATTGGAGTCCGAACGACTCAGGGAATGCTCCAATGACCCCGGAGTGTCCAGCCTTTGAGGGGATGGCCGGAGATCTCGTGTTCGTCCAAGCAAGTGATTCGACTTGATTCAATTGGATTTAATGAGCGGGTCCGGAGTCGCCGTTATCGTCTCCTTCAGAATCCAATATGTACAATACTCCCAGCATCAGTACTACCGAATTTGTGTAGCGGAAAACAATTCTATCGGAAGGTGGCTCGATTCGGAAGCGCTTGGGGCAGGCTGCCGAGAGATCCGAGTTGGGACTGTTCGAATTCCTCGACTCCGGGACTCCTTAGTCTTCGCGGTTGTGAGCAAGGCTTCCAATTAAGCTCGAACGATTGGAGTTGACCAGTGCTGACACTATTCCATTGTCCGCATGCAGACGATGCACCCACTGGCTGTCTGCGCGGCGCCCATCGAATCGGACAAGTCAAGAAAAATCTTCGGGAGTCTCCAAAAAGGCGTGGAATGTCACCGAGAAATCGAGAGAAGATATGCTCAGGCTCCCCTACGGTCGCAGCGTTCACGTCTACCCGTCAAGGCCACTCCCATAAACACGTTCACATGGCTCACTCAGCTGAGTCGGCCCAGAGCATTGTTCTCTCAAACGTCCACCATCGGCATAGATGAGACTTCTAAAGATTATGGTTATATTGTCAACGGATGCCTCGTGAGAAATCGTACTCGACCCGCGAGCACATGTTTATGCGAGAATATCGATCTCTTTTCTCGGGGCTTGCCGTCGGTCCATCTACGGCGGCGCGGCGTTCCGGGACGGTCAATCGATAAGCCAACTTTGGCGAGGCAGTCCAGAGTCGTGAGATGGCTTCGCGAGTTCCGCATGATCTGAGGTGCATCACCTCAGAGTCAGCATTGCTGGTCATCGCCGGAGTTCACGTGAGGATGAAATATTGTGATGGGGCAAATGTTGATCCGGAAGAACTCGTAGCAGCCGGTGAGGAAACGCCTTCGCCCGCTCTCTCGGGAACGCTTCGATCTAAGGCGAAGGCGACACTCAGCCAAAGCGAACAAAAGCTCTTGCGATGCTTGAACGACGTCGTTTATGACTTACTTTCTCGCTAGTCGATGGTGAGCCCTCCACCGACTTCCTACTTCGGTGGCTTCGAATTCCGTCCAAATGGAATTTCTCCATTCAAAGGGGACCATTTTTCGACTCGTGGATATTTTCCGACAGTGTCGTTCGCCGTAGATAGATGATAATTGTATACTCAGAGACGCTCAACTCAGATCGAGATGCCCTCGAAAACTTCGATCATGAGAATTTTATAAATTGGACCACTCATTCTACCCGAGGCCGTTCGATTGATGCCGCGCCTCAGGCTCTGACGGTCCCAATCGATAGCAGATATTGTGGCAAATCGAGCGCTTGCAGGTTATTCAGTGGTGGGCCAAAGGTTCCACTCGGCAGCGGCACGGCTCTGCGGAATAGGATGCTTGGCGCTTTGTAATGGTGAGTTCCGTCATAGCCGCCGCTACGACTACTTCGTCCTGCGAGCAAGTTAGCCATCATGAGGGTTGCGCCATCGAGTAGCGAGCAAGTTACATTTTTTCACGATGGCCGACTTATTTCCGCAATCAAGCTTCTTCTTGGGAAGTTTTCGCGGCTGGAATCAATGACGGCTTCTTCTCCTAAAATGAACTCGATCATATACTGGACCGGGGACCGGGAAGTCGGCCGGGAGTTCCGACCGCAGGCTCCGCTGGTTGGTTGGTATATTCCCGACCCGGCTCCGAGTAATAAGGATGGGTCGACTCTGGATTCTAGTTCCGAATAATCGGAGCTATTTATCATTCTGAATTCAAACAGAAGCCCGCTTAAGAGTGTCCCGGGGACACGGAATTCGTCGAGTAGGGACACCACACCCTTCAAGTTCTCACCTACGGTCAAGCTTCATGGACGCGAGCTGACAGCTGTTCACGGAAAGTTGAAACACACTCCGTGCGGAGGTATCCGAATGCGCTCCGCTGGATCACTTGGATACTCTTGGATTTCGTTCCCGAACGCCGAGCAAACAAAAAATGGAAGCGATCACCATCAACAACGATAATGAGAGAAAAAAAATAGAGAAACATCAGAAGTACCACCCCTAGCGGCGAGCGGAGCAGTACCCTTGGTCGCCGCCGATTCTGAGTCAGCGATGGTGGGCGAGGAGGTTTCGTGGCTAGCTTTGGCTCTCACTTCCCGATTCAACTTTTTGCCTTGCCACGAAACTTGCTGCTGTCCCTTCCCCTACTTCTGTTGCCATGTGAGCTACCGATGCAGTGGTCACCATTGAAAAGAGACAGGATTCCATTATATTACCACCCGGAATGTCGAAGGTCCGGGGAAAAAGTAAGTTAGGTTCTTCAACGGTGGCATGGGGCCTGGCAAAACGGAAATCATCGCGGTCTTCGAATTCTATCATTCCAAACCCCAACGATTGGAGGAACCCAGTCCTGAAAATCGATCTGAGATTTCGGAGACTGCGATTCACAGTTTGAATGAGAACCGCGGGGAAGTTCATCCGATCTCCTAAATGCCGCAGAGAAACAGGCGGCCAATGGGTATCCGAGGATACCGATGACGAGCAGCAACAATCAGCTAGTATCCCTCAGATTATTATCCGTCGCGCAGTTCCATTCTAGAACAGAGCTGAAACAGCGATGGAAGCTCAACATCATCGTCACAGCAGAGTGCGTCGCAGCGATGAAGCCTCCGCTCGAAATTGGACGCCATCAGACTAGCTGCGGCTGTTCATTCTGGACTCCACATACAACTTCAAATCACGCACGCTCACATCGACCGTTCCGAAGAGCGCTGGGAAAATATCACGAAAAGTCATCTGAATGATATCTGTCGGAGTTTCCATTCTGCGTCGCGTTGCTGCCTCCGTCCAGAGTTATTCTATTCTAGTTGGCGAATGTTCTGACGGTGAAAATCGTGACTTTCGATTCTAGTTAGGCGGGCGTTCCACGGGGCTGAACCTCTCGGAAATTAAAGTCTTTGGCTCCTTTCGAAAACCGAGAAGGGAATTAGTTCCGTAATTTGCGGTCGACCAAGGACGCTCCTCCAATTATATTACGACCCTTCCACCCGGCGGGCCGCCGACGAAATAAAATCATAGCGTGCCCAGAAAGATTTCCTGCATTTGTCAGCAAGCTCCAGGATCTTCTCCGCCGGCACTTTCTCCATTGATAGGAAGTCTTCGCCCTCAGGACGTTTGTACATGATTGAACAACGAACGCCTGTATCTGTACAGCGAAGCGCAGATTCCGGTATCCGGCTCGGCCCCCGGATGATCCTGGTAGCGTCGGCAATATTTTTCCTGATTGAGATCTCCATCTATAAGCAGACCGGGGCTCTCCAAAAATCGGATCCCTCCCAGGGATTGGATGACGTCCCGGTTTGCCGCTTGAAGGATCTGAACCTTCTATTTTCCAGGATTAAAATCATGTTTTTATTCCTGAGCGGATATCGCTCCCCACGCAATGAGGGTATCGAAAAATGATTTTATGGATCGGAAACTGTTCCCCTTTCTGGACCGCCATTGACGAAATCACACTGAAAATCATCTTCCCTCAGCCTAGAGAATAACTTCAGCGGTCTGAGAAGTATAGCAAGAGAATCCAGGATCCTCAGTATGTTTATGCATGACTCCTCAGGGCAAGGAGTCACGCTCCGTATTCGTCATCATGGTCCTTGAATTATTATTCGACAAAGTCAACGGTGGTCATTCGAAGTCTGCTCGCTTTCGCAGAGCCTCACAAAGCGATTGAGCTTTTAATAGATCCAGTATCGACCGTTCTTTGTGTGCCTCCCACCGTAACGTACGTACTAGCTTAGGCGGTGTCGTTGACGGTCTCTTCTTTCGAGCCGGTCCGAAACGGCAACCCAGGTTCTCGATTCCTCAAAAGATACCCATTCAGTGGGAGCAATCCGTCATCTCTTGGAGACCGCGCTACTCTCTGGCAGCGGAGAATACGTCGAATTTCATCATCATTGCCGATAATTGCGCACATTGCTTCGCCTTCGATTTCATTCTGCCAAAGGGCGCAGCCGATCTCCCGATCTGCAGCTCTCGATTGAGCGGGTCTGGAAGCCGCCTTTGGAAACATTTTTCGTTTGACTGCCCAACATCGGGCTTGAATCGTCGGTCGTCCGACTTTGAGCAGAGGCCCCACTCACCGTTAGGTCCAGTTCCTGTAACAGCTGTCTTTTTCGGTGCACAGAGTCGTTGAAGCGCTGATTCGATAATTTCGTCGCCCGATGTTTGAGATTCTCTGACAAGTTGATTCCTTTTGCGAATGATGATAAGTACAGTGAGACTGGCCTTAACTCGGGCTTCCAGCCGATCCCAAAATGGACGATCTCGGAAGCGAAAGAGGGGTCGCCTTTCGAATTCGCAGCGCTCCCCGCGCCCACGCAGCTCCTGCATCGGACAACACCGCTGACAGAGTGTTACAATGATCCAGAATTCCACTCGAATAAAATTCAAAGGCGTCAAAAACATGCGTCTGCGCCCGATTAGGAGTACCATATAAGTGCTGCACGGACTTATCGCGAATTCGGGGCTCTATCGCAAATTCGGAAAATCAAGGAGCCTTAATTCAGAGTGCATTTCGACCAGCTGCGTTGATGACTTCCCCATTGCCGAGCTTCGTGTACGATTCACTGTAGCGCCGGGGAGAAATTTGGCTGAGGAGCGATTTTATTCATTGGCGAGGAAAGATTCCGAGCGGTTTTCAGATAGCAAGCATTTTTTATTGCGCAGTGATTCCACAACACGAGACACACTGATTCGTCCCAAACTAGATTCGGATGAGCGGGAAATGCTTGTCAATAATAATAAATACACCCTTCAGAGTATTCCTTGAATGATATCAATGACTTGAGCTCTTTTAGATGCTACGATCCAGAATCCGAACTCGATCGGTGGACGAGCGCGGCGTCGGAAATCTTCCTAATCTCTGTATCGTCAAGTCGATACGAGCTCGGAGATCGCCCCGGAGTCCCACGAACGTTCACAACGAAGCTCCGGACGCATGATGAAGCTTACATCAAAAACCTTGCGAAGTTCCGTTGCCTTAAGCAGCAATGACCTTGAAGGGGGAGCCGGGGATGTTCTCGTCTCCCCATTTCACCATTATGATGTGGTCTCCTCTTTCCTTGCATTGATAGGTCACATTGTACATGTTGCGGCCCATGTGCTTGACGAAGGTCTCGTCGCAAGGACCTTTAGGTCCGAAAACGCTACAGTAGAGCATGTTGTTCCCGGCGTTGCTGCAGTCGACGGTGAAGGTGTTCGCGCGTCCCATGACCGCCTTCTTCAAACCCAAACCCTTAGAGGTGGCGCGTTTCGCGTCCGACTTGAAAGCGGGCAGACGATCGGCCTTCGCGGTGCCTTGTTTGCGGACGGTGTCCAGCTCGACGTTCGAGCTCTCGGCGACATTGGCGGCAACGAGACCTCCGGCGGAGGTTCGAGTGGCCTCACCGCTGACGCTGACCTTGAAGGGCGATCCGCATACGTGGTAGCCATTGTATTTAACAGCGATGAAGTAGTCGCCAGGCGCAAGGGGAGTGTAGTGGACCTTGTAGCCCTCGTCGATCTCTGTGCAATCCATAGAAACCTTTGTCGGTCCATCGACCTGGACCTTGAGCTTGCCAATGCCGGCAGCGGTCGTATCCACGATGAAGTCCGTCTTCTGGCCGGCGATTGCTTCCTTCAAGCCGGGACCGTGGGCGTTGACAGCGGCAGGATCAGCGTCGTCGGTGCCGACCAAGACCCTGAAGGGGGATTGAGGAATATGGACACCGTCGCAGCGGATATGGATGTGATGGACGCCATTTTCTTTCGGCAGGAAGCGCAGGGCCCACTCGTCTGCAATTATCATGAGAATAATTAGCAAGTCAACAAAGCGAATTCGGTCGCATCTCCGAATGAAGGCGTCGGAGCGGATCCTCCTCCTCTTCCCCCTGAGGTCCTTACCCGCATCGAGACAGCACATGAAGCAATCGTCTTTCTTGCCCGATGGGTCGACAACTTCTCCATCGAGGGTTCCCTTGGCGCCGTTCATGCGCAAGCTAAGATTGACGGGAGTGTTGACTTTGATAGAATCGGGAACGTTCGCAAGCTCGATCTGAGCGGCATCGCCAGCCGGCGGCATGACATAAACCTGTAGGTCGTGAATGCATTAATTCTATTCCAAGCTCTTTCACGAAGATCTGAATCCCCTCGTATGCCTTTTTCCCCCGCTTTTCTTTGTTTTTTCCGAGCCGTTTTCGCGATGAATCTCATGAGGCAGGACGCGCTACTGTTCGGGAGATTTTTTCAAAACCAAATCACAAACCTTGAAAGGTGAGTCGGGGATGTGCTGATCGTTGAACTTGATTCCGACTCGGTACTCTCCCGGATCAGTGACTTTGTACGATATATAGCAGGATCCATCTTTGCGATCCTTGAAGTCGATAGCGGCCTTCGAGGGTCCCTCAACGGACACCGCGAGCGCCCCGGCGCCAGCTTCACGAGTCCAGATATTGAACTCGCATGGCTCATCCGCGATACCCCGCTCGAGTCCTTGACCCCCTGCGTGGACTCGATGGGCTCCGAAGTCCCGGAGAGGTCCGACAGTGAATTGGAAGGGTGATCCCGGGATGTGGAACTTCTTGTGGCGCACGGTGACGGTGTGGACGCCAGCGACTTTGGGCACGAACGCGACCTCGAAGGCCTCATCGTCGGAATCCCGAATGCACGCCGGGTTCGTGTCGCCTCCGGGGCCCTGAACCTTTGCGTCCATGTCGAGAGCACACGAGTTGGGCATTTTGAAGATCAATTTGCACTCTTGTCTGGAAATGTGCGGACGCGTTTAGTTCCTGGAAGTCCTTCTCGTCTTTGAAAGATGTCTCGATCAATAAGGAGCGACCCCTTACCCGACATCGGAAATCGGAGCTGCCTCGCGCTGTTTCTTAATTCTTTCTCGTTGGACGTTGGAACCTTCACCGTCAACTTTGATCGTGAAAGGAGATCCTCGCACGTGGTGATCAGCGAACTTCACGTTCAGAATGTAGTATCCGGGCTCCGATGGAACGTAATTCACTTTCACCGTTCCGTCCTCATTGTCCTTGACTTTGATATCAGCCTTTGAGGGTCCTTCCATCGAGATGGACAGACCTCCATAACCTGCGAAGATCCCGTCGCCCGTGGCTCGTGAGTCCCGCTCAGTTCCTCCGTATCGGCTTCCGCTAGCGAATTATTGCTGCCTCGGAATGGTACTCACCGGCGTCCTTGGTATTTATGACGAACTCGTTGGCTTTCTGAGTGATTCCTTGGATCAAACCGGCTCCAGAAGTCTGGACTCGGGTTGAGTCTCCGATTTCGCAATCCAGGACACTGATCTTGAAGGGCGATCCAGTTATCTCCTGTCCCTGCCGACGGACGTGGATTTGGTGGTCTCCAGTGAGACGGGGCGTGAAAGAAATTCCTGGAATGACCGAAGGTTTTCAGGGCGATCGTCCATCGCGGATCTCTGACTCGTCTCCACAGCGATCTTGTCCCGACTAGAACTCTGAGCTTCCATACCTAGCTGGCCGTTGGGCAGCTGCTTAAGGAAGCACGGCTCCTCGAGACCGTTCGGGGCTACGATGTAGGCATTGAGGGTCTTGATATCCTTCTCTTGGACCTTCAGCGAAACCTCAGAAGAGTGACCCACGGAGATCTGGGCGCGTTTGCGGCCTTCGCCAGTGACCTTCGCGGTGAAGGGCGATCCCTTGATGTGCTCATCGGCGAATTTGATCGTGATCTTGTAGTCACCCGGTGCCGCGGGCAGATACGTCACCGTCACCGTGCCGTCGCGATTGTCGTGGTAGTTGATATCGGCCTTGCTCGGACCCTCAACGGCGACGTTGAGTCCTCCGGATGCGGCACCCTTGGTCGAGATGTGGAACTGAGTGGGCTCGTTCGCGATCCCGTGAACCAAGCCAGGGCCGTAGGCGGTAACGTATCCGGACGAGATCGAGTCGACGTTGAACTTGAAGGGACTGCCCTGAATGTGCTCGCCGTTGAATTTTACGTGCAGTTCGTGACAGCCCTCTTCGCGGGGATCGTAGCGGATGGACACGGTTCCGTCTTGGTTGTCGACGATCACAGGCCTGTCGATTCCTCCGGACGGCATTTTGACGAAAGCGTCGACGTCAGCACTGTTCTTGTGACGTGTAGGAAGATTGGTGAGTTGGAGGCCGTGGAACTTCTTGGTGGTCTTGGTCTCTTTGCGGTAGCTTGTTGTTGTTGTGCTCTCCTCGTAAACTTCTTGCGTCGTCTGAGGAATAGAGGAGAGTTTCGATAATTATTCCAGATCCCTGGTGTAATCGAAGGTGTCCCTCCCACCCGTTGAACTATGAAATTGTTTTCCGAACCCTCCACTTCAGCTTGTTTTCATTGCAGGAATGATGAACGAGCTGCCATTGAGGAAGATCCTGAAGGAGACTTTCAGAGCCTGAAGAATTCGCCCGCAGAGTAAATTACTTTTCTCGGAGAGGAGGAACGAATTTCATGAGCCTCATCGTGGAAACTATGAGGAGCAGAGATCCTACTGCTTTAAATTTGGCAGGGGAGAGCTCGACAAAAGCGACCATCATTAGTTCAATGAAGAGCTCGCCGCGAACTGGTCGACCTAACGCTTGCATTCTCTCGAGCCTGGAGATAGATCGAGACCCTTGTTGTGATCCGACCGGCTAACACAGGTCAGTATCTGCAACTCGAGAGGCTGTCATCTCGGTGGTTTCTGACGACGGTGGGTACGATTGCCAAGATCACATCAGCCAATCAGCTGGTAAGGCTCGCCTCTTGGCTGGTAGGGCTACCTAGCGGGCATCTCATGTGATCTAAGAGCACCCACAAAGTGCCCCGACAGCGAGAGGAAAACACAAACCCTCGTCTCTGGCCGGCGGACGGATCTAAGCGGAAGTGAATGAGTTGACGAACGAGCACCTTTCAGAATTCCAAAGACAAACGGGTAGAAGAATGAAGTCGGTGTTCGCCAACCTGCCCGGACAGCCACCACTTAGATGCCGCGAGCTCGGGCCACTCGGTCCAATAGTTTGCGAAACCTAGCTAGAGGCGAGGATCAATAGGGGCCGCAGACAAAAAGACGATTACAGGGAATTCCTACCGGGGATAATCGACCTGAATATCTTTGGGAAACTCCTGCTTGATATTCTCGCCAATTATCTCTACACCCTCTATGCCCTCGACTGCTACATAGGAGATCTCTCGATGTCGAGAGTATGAAGCAAATACGTTCTTACTCATATTTTTTCCGAAGCATCGGCTGAGTGTGATCTACCTGGGTCGAGTCTCGGAAGATCGAAAAGTATCGTGAAAGCCAATCTTTTCGGACAGAGCATCTCGAATCAGCTTTCAATTGAAGCTAAGGCTCCGCGGAAAGATCCTCATTGTCGAAATCACATTGCACCTCCCGAGAGTTCGCATTCCGGGAGGATGCGAGGCCGATAGGGTCAGCAAGGTGAAGGAATGAGGTTCGAGCTTGCTCTTGGCAACTCATAGCTTCTCCTTTGTGATTTTAAATTCCAACCGCTTGAGGAACGATCGAATCCGCATCGATGGGGATTTCCCGAGCTTCGCACGCTCCAACGATCCCCGAGAGATTCAAGCGGAGCAGCATGAGAGCACCTGCGCATCATACCGTTCCGCCTCCTGCCCGACCAAGCAGATTGGGGTTCCGAATACCAACAATTAGCAAGCTAACTAATACTTGTCGAGACCCGTCTATCGATGTGCAATCGAAGAGCAACGGAGAACCGCTCGAGAACGAAACTCACCTGCAACGCACGAGCCTCCGATAGCTCGTTCCAAAGTGCAAACACCACTTCCCGAAACCTTAAACTATGACTCTGTCAAGTGCTCGGAGAGCAGCGACTCTCGCAGAGCTTCGTAGGATGCTCGGACTCGCACTCTCCCGGAACCATCCGTCCGCCCGCCCGCCACCCGGCCAGCCCGCCCCGAGTCCGAAAGCAAGCCTTTTGGCCTAAAGGCCGAATAATGTGATGATATTGTTACGAACGACCCTTGCTTCTTGAGCAGCGGTCGGGTCACTTGAAATAAGGCATCCCCGCAGTCTTCGGTAACCTTTGTACCCAGACCCTGTATCCTAACGATCGTCGTCGTCGTCGTCGTTCGTTCATTCGTTCGCTCGTCGGTGGCTTTCACACTCATTGACCCGCTTGCGAGTAATACGGCACGTTCGCCGAAGCTTCAAAGACGCTCTCTTCAAGAAAAGATGACTCCCGCTCGGGAGATATCAATCGGCATTTGGGGAAATCTTTCGGAAAGCTGTACTTCACGCCCATGGTCAGCGGACGGTATAAGAGAGATTGGCCACAAAGGAAGATTCGCAAAATGAGAATCCTCAACCCAGAGCCCGGAAGCATAACTCTCCGAGCCGAGCAGCGATTATTTTCTGCATCGGATTCGGGCTGTTCTACTGGGACAGATTTGAAGCGCTGAAGCTCGATACTACCGATGCTGACGCCTCGCCCTGAGTCTATCATGGGGACCGGGGCTCCTCAAAAAAATCCCGACGGAATCTCGACGAGAGCCGCTCAAGCGAGACCCGCGGACACGTTTGATAAATTTCTATCAATGAATTCCGAGGAGCACGATTCGAGTCGCACCGAATATTCACGCTCAGCACCATTGTTCTCTACTCCCGAACTCATTCATATCCTATAAGCAGAGTCTCGCGTGGCTGTCAGGACGAGAACTCATAGATACGCTGATCGGGCGTTGTGAGAACCTACAGCTCTGATGAGCTTCGACGCAGACACCTCGTGAGCACAATGGCCAGGGCGAAGAATGTAGGGCTCGCGCGCAGATTCCTCTCACCCAGATATTGACACGGCTCGGGAGCGTATCGCTCTCAATCTCTACCTGTCAGCATTTTTTTAATTGCGTCCTATAGGGTAAAATAGGTTGATATTCCTCTCTCATTTACTCTGAGCGTTTGATTAATGCTGGACTTCTTCTCGACCCGGCTCTAATCTACAAAGTTTTTGGTCGACCACTGACTTCCCGCGGCTTGCAGATTTCCAAATACCAGAGACATTTTTGCGAGAGCCTGCAATGATGAACGCCGCCGGTCTACGTCACGGTCATGATCTCAGCTCTGTGCCGTCTAAGACGATGCGGGTCTTTTCGCCGGAGAATCGATAAGCTCCTCACTTCGATTGAATGCCCTCGAATTTCAGGTTCGAATATCATGTCGGCATCTGGATCTATCCGAGAGTCGAGGATCGATTGGAGGGCATGGACTGCATTTTTGATGATTCCCGCCGAGATCTTCCATGATATGTACGAGTTTATCGGTCCCTCTCGGGGATCGAGAAAACTTGCCGCTCTATTCGATGGCTTCCCTTGGGAACGCTGAATACTATCCACGCATGTTCGGGCTTGCCGCAAGGTTTGGTGATGCCTTTCCTCTGAGAGAGTCTCAAAACAGAGCTCTGGTGTTGTGTAGATATATCGCGACTCAGCTGAGGGTTGATTGGCTCTCAGAGCCTCGTAACAATCTCTGCGAGCAACGAATATCTCAGTCGACCCCTGCATTCAGTTCGCTGAGTTTGCGGACCTTGAGGCGTAGCGAGAAGCGAGCGGGCGTTTATCACGGAAATATTCCTCCAAGCGGAATAATTCTTCGTGAAAGAAAGTCCCATTCGTCCACATGAGAGCGTTTGCCTGCGTTCCGTGACACGCTTTCGGGAGAATAGATTCCAGGCATTCCTATGGGCAAGGAGGGTGCGGCCCCCCTGACGCATTCCGTTGAGAACATTCCCGAAGACGTTCCTTAGTTTTCGGGACCTCCGAGCTCTGGACGAAGCCGACGCTCTGATTGGCGGCGAGGTCTCAGTCCCTGCTCTGCTCTCGAGGAGGCCAACGGTATGGGTATCGTATCGTCTACCTACCTCCCGGACAATGCCTCGTCGACTGTCGGGAGATCGTTACAATTCGTGAGATGCAGTGATCGGTATCGTCATTCGGAATTCTGATCGGCGGGCTGCTACTTTGTAATATTCATCCGCCTCAATGAGGGGGAATAGAGACAGGACTTCGACTGAGTGAGCTTCTGGTGACATCTTTCAGCCCGAGGAGACTGTCGGGGAAACAAATGGTTCGACCTGTTATGCAAGAGCTGCTTCGAGCTAGATCACTCTGGAAGGACGGGCGGGCCGGCAGGTAGGCAAGCAAGCAAGCGAGCTGGCAGGTATGCTAGCTGGCGGGCGTTTGGAAGGCGGGCGCACTCAGTTCTCGGACCGAAAGTGCTCGAGAACCAGCGTCCGAGGAGGTGGATGCCTCGGCGAAAACGACTCGAGTCGTTTTGGCCCGGCTTCTTGATGAGCGTCTGTGAGATTCGAGTGAGCCCGCGTAGTCGCCCTCAGCGGAATCCTTCTCGATGGAAGAGATAGGACGCGACAGAAAGCTGACCGCATCGGATGACAGCTCATCACATCGGGTGTAATTAAATTGTAAAAAAAAATCACCACTCGAGACGGACAAGGCCCGACAGAACGATTCCCGCCGTGTGGCTGACCGACGAAAAAAGACTTTCATTCGGCACCGGGATCCTCGTGACTGACGAGCCGGCTACTGGATGTACTCACCACGATCTTAGTGGTTTTCGTGATTTTTTCCCCTCCGAACTTAAGGTCGAAGTTGTATTCTCCCTTCTCCTTGACCTTGAAACGGACGCTCTGAGTTCCGTCCTTGTGGACGATCGTATCGACTTCACTACAATCTGTGACGCTCTTCGTTTTCGAGCCCACTTTGGTTATCGATCCCGTGAGCCGTCCTTCACCGGCACCTCGGGTGTCCACTTTGACCTCGTAGTCCTTACCGACAGCCACCGCCTTCGGAATAGAATTCTCTGGAAACATACGAGAGGATATAATGTAACACATTGTGCGGGAGGAACGACGTCCTGTAGAGCTTCGGTCCTCTCGGGCAGGCATGCCCCAGGAATTCTTTCCAACTCACCATCGAAAATACATTTCGAATGATCTCCGGCTTTCTTGGCGTCCACCTGGAAGCTGCACTGTTTGACTTCCTTATCGTCGTACTTGGTGACGATCTTATTCTTGCCGGGGGTATCGCAAACGAACAAGACCTTAGTCTTGCCGTCCGGGAGCATCCTGGTTTTTGCTGGTCGGACCTCTCCATTCGGACTCTGTGCAGAAAAGACAGAACAGAAATAATATGAAGGGAAATCTCCGACGATTTAGCGCTCGCAAAGCAAAAACAGCTCCACGTTTCCCGTGCACTCACTACGACGTCGATGTCGAGTTTCCCAGCTCCGGCGTCCGTGGTGTCGATGACGAACTCCTGAGGAATCGAGCAAGGGACCTCTTTCGGCGGAGCTCCCACCATTTTTATGTTGTTAGGTTCTGCCTTCGGCTTAAGCTTCAGGTTGAACGGGCTCTTCGGCACTTCCTTGCCAGCAGCGCGGACTTCGATCTTGCATGCGGCGCCTTCATTTTCAGGTGGGATATAATCGACCGAGAACTTCCCATCGCCGATGTCCGTGACCTCTACAGGACACGCGGTTCCATCTGCGGAGTACCCTGACGCATTAGCTTCAACGGTCAAACCATCGACGGAGCCGGAGACAGATCAACTCAATTCACTTATATGGAACTAAATTTCTCTCTCGCCGCAGCTCCTACCCGAGGACGTGACGGTAGCGCTGACCGGGAGTTTCCCTCCGCCGGCGGCAGCCTTGGTGTCCACGGTGAAGTTCTGCGGAACGCCGGCGCGAACTTTGCCCTCTTCGAGTCCGGGGCCCGAGCAGGTGACTTTCGATACGTCGAGACTCTTAGCAGCGGGGACTTCGAAAACGCTCCCCGGAACGTCCTGACCGGCGAACTTGACCCCGATGCGGTAAACTCCCTCGGTGTCAGGCACATATGTCACGGTGCATGTCCCGTCCCTGGAATTCGGGCGGGTTCGGCGAGATTATCACAAGCCTCGCACCGACTGCTCCTCGAGCTTCGGATCCCAGGCTGAATTGAGAGGGGTACCTGTTATCGACGCAGGTCATCTTCGCTTCGGTCGGGCCTTCGATCGAGAGCCCGAGGCCTCCTGTCCCGGCACCTTTGGTCTCGACGGTGAATTTGTTTTCTTCGTTCACCTTCCCGAACTCGATTCCAGGCCCGTAGACCTTGACCCTAGATGGATCGCAACCGCTCTCCACCTTGACGGGGAACGGACTGTCCGGAACGGGTATGCCGTCGACCGTCACTTTATATTCGCAGGTACCTTCAGAAACAGAGGTCTAGAGATGAACGCCTCTCCTTTTCTGTCACTCACTCAGTGGAATGATCATCCATCCCCGCCAGAGCCACCTTCCCTTACCAACTTCTTTCGGAATGTGGGTGACCTTGAATTTTCCGTTACCAGTCGACTCCACCTTGGCCAATTGGCGAGAACCGTCAGGCTTTACGATTGTGCACTCGATCTTATGATCATCCGGTTTGGGGAGCTTCGACGTATCCACTTGGAACTCGTTGATTGCGTTGGTGAAGATGACCGGTTGAAGTCCGCTCACGACGACATCCTTGGTGCTCATGTGAGGTTCGACAGCGACCTTGATAGGCGATCCAGGCACGGGTTTTCCGCCTTGCTCGACAGTTACCTAGAAATTCATGCTCGTATCGAGGTTCTGTAGTTTTCTAAATTCAACTTACGTAAACCTTTGTCTCCAAGAATTCAACTGCTCTGATGAGAGAAGCACTGCCCCACTCACGAAATGGTTTCCAGGCGTGGGAGCCTTGTACTCGCAGGTGAAGGTGCCGTCCTTGTTATCCGTCATCTTGACCTTCACCTCGTCGCCGTCTTCATTTGTGATTTTCACCTTGGGCTTGGCGGAGCCTGCGTTCTTGCAATCTATGAAGAACTTTGTGGGAGTGCTGCTTTTGACTCCTTTTTCAACGCCCGGTCCGTAGACCTTCACTTTCAGAGGATCCGCGCTAGCTGTCACATCGACCTAGAGGATAGGGAAGCGATACTTGGAGAAGGTCCGACACGACCTTCAAGCAAGAGATGCTCCGATTGCCCGGACCGTAGTCCGGCTCCTCAGGTTCTCGAAGAGTGTCCACAGTCTGCACCGAGAGCTTACCTTGAAGGGGCTGTCGGGAATCGCACACCCGTTGTAGTTCACACACACGGTGTATTTTCCGTCGTCTTTGGGCTTGTACGAGCAGGTGACAGTTCCGTTCTTGTTTGACTTCACGGTGACTGGAATCGGCTCATAGTTCTCATTATGGATTTCCACCGAGACATCGGGATCCGACTCTGGCTTCGCAGTTGCCGCTTTGCAGTCCACGGTAAACTCGACTTGCTTGTCCTGCTGAACGCCTGGGCTGAGCCCCGGACCGAAAGCTTTGACCTGGAGGTTGAAACGCATCGATGAAGGGTCGGGAACCCGGGTGTTATATCTCAGTTCCCGTGAATTTAATCGAGTAGCGGGTGCTTTGACCAAGATATGCTATACCTTAGTGAGATCGAATTCTTTCTCGGGTTCGATGGTTGCGACGTATGGCGATTTCGGAATATCCTCGCCGTCGCACAAAATATGAATGACGTAGTCTCCTGGCGCGCTGGGTGTATACGTCACACCGGCAGATCCATCACCAAGATCCTCGCATTGAATCGAGCATTTCGATGGGCCTGCATGAAAGTTTGTAATCTGAGTTTCTAGTCGTTTCGTCCATCATGAAGTCCTGACTCTTGGCGCTCTACCGACCTTCGATGGTGAAACTCAGCGAGCCGGTCTCTCCGTTGGTATCGACCGTGAACTTGGCGGGCTTCTCGGTGACACCCCCCTTCAGTCCCGGGCCGTAGGCTACGATCTTAGATTCTTTGAAAGGACCAACCCCCACCTCGTATGGCGCTTTGGGGATCTCGTCACCGCCGTATTTGACCACGACCTTGTGCGGACCTTCTTTGACGGGCTTGTAGGTGACATCATAGCGATCGTCTTTGGTCTGTTTGATTTCTACGGGCAAGAGTTTGCCATCAGGATCAGTGACTTCCACCTCAACGTTGCCATCGCCGGCATCGGTGGTCAGGACTTTGAAGTCGGCAACGTCTCCGACACGCACTCCCTTCTTCTGGAGACCGCGTCCGGACGCCTTCACGCGGCGGGGGTTGCATGCTGAAATACGAAGCCGGTCGATTAGATCGACTTTAAGAGGACAAGGCCTCGTATAATCAGAGGATTGTGGGATTCGATTGACGAAAACTCACGCAGTCCCACGTTGACCTTGAATGGGGCTTTCGGTATCGGTTTTCCAGCGAACAAGACCTGAACGGTGTGCGGACCGGGCTTCACGGGGCAGTACTCGCATTTGTACAAATCATCCGCAACCTTGGTGAGCTTCATGGGAACCGCTGAAGTTTTCCCTTCAGGGTCCGTGATAACGCACTCAACCTGACCGAATCCAGCGCCGGTCGTTTTGACGTCGAAGTGCGTGAGTTTACCCGCGGGTCGACCTTTGGGCTCGATACCGGGACCGGACGCAACGCATTTCTTGGGGTCTCCGGGCGTGCCTTCGATGTTCACGGCGAAAGGAGCTTTCGGAACATCTTGGCCGGCGAACTTGACGAACACTTTGTGGGCGCCCTGGGTTTTCGGAGTGTAGCTCGCCTTCCAGCGCTTTTTGCCTTCATCTTCCAGTTTGATGTCGACCTGCGGGAGATTTTCCGTTGGCGTGATTCGTCTCACGTTCCGTGGGAAGCGGACGCACCGATACTCTATGGAGGAATTATTTCATCGTATCGGACTTCACCTTGGTCTTGTTGCCTTTTTCGTCCTCTACCCAGGCCTCGAGGTCGCCTTCGCCAGCCCCGAACGTTTCGATGGTGAAGGTGGTCGGGGCACCGCACGTGACACCTTTGGGCTCAATGCCAGGACCGAAGCAGCGGACTTTCTTGGGATTGGTTTCCAGCTTCAGAGGCGCGGCTTCCTTCAGCTTTGCGTTGGGGAACTGAGACAGGTAAGTCATCATCGAGAGCTCGTCGACTTTAGGGTTCGCCATGTTATCCGGATCGATGAGCTGTGGGGTTGAAACATACAGTGGAACACTGAAACCTCTAATACCTCGACAATTCACACGCTATTATATGTCAGGGACAGTCTTGAAGGGTCGGATCCCGTCCATACCGGAGCTACACCCAGCCATTTTTCGGCGGCATCCATGGCTTCCTTGATATTCCTGACGTTGTCCTTGGGATCCCATTTCTGCCAGTTGGGACACAGTCCCGGCGCCAAGGCATCGACAAGAGCGCCCAAAGTCGTTCCATCGTTCCAATCTTTGGTGAAGTTCTTCACAGATTTATCGGGAATCTACTCGGGATGGAGGAATAGGAGAATTCGGATCAGTTTCATATGCAGGGAAGGCGAGCGCGAACTATTTCGCGGATACAGCGGGAATAATGCCGGTTCTGGAGTGATCGAGGGTGACTTATGGCGGGGAGTGACCTTTGATTGGATCCACTTGAGGAGTCGGTCCTTGGGTGTTTTCGCTTTTCCTTCGAGGAGATTCTCATCGTCACCTTCCCACATGGGGAGGGAGATGGAGTAGTGAAGAATGAGCGTCCAGATCAGACCCAGGATCAGTTTCAGTTTGCAGTCCACGATATCCGATGAGTCTGAAAAGAGGAATCGAGGCCACAAATCATCGGTATGTTCGAGCTAGGCGTGCTGTCACCTATCCTTCGCTCAATTAGTTCTGACTCAGAACTTCCGAGTCCCGATCCAAGGAGCCACGACGATGCCTCCGCGAAATTTTGATGGAGAATGAAAGTCGAGCTCGAACTAATCACCCGCCGCGGCCCCATGGAATTTTCTGACGGAGTCCGCGAGGAATACTTAAACGCCGACACCTCGACTCAGAGAAAGATCGTATCCTCGAATTCAATGGATTTCGGCCGGTATTCCGATGGGTAGCGTCGACATCGAGACGCGGCTTGCAGGGCAGTAGTTCATCGAACCCGAGCCCTCAGCCGGTCTCGAGACTCGCGCTCGCTCTCCGGAATCGTTTCGTTCACGAGATGGACTCTGGCTCGATGGCGGAACCGCTTGAGCCGGTTAGAGAGGCCCTTGACCTGAGCCGGCTTCTAGGAGACCGTTACAAGCACAAAAAGGAAGAGAAGATGCTATTTTAGGTCTCTAGAGTGCTGACCATCGTTGTGTGTCGGTTTCTCCTTTTCAGAATAGGCAGCCCTCAGAATGTGAGAAGGGTTCCTTGAGAGACTGATTGTGAGAGGATCGGTCCCGCGGTCAGATGCCGCCCGGAACCCTGCATGGGCGCAGACAAAGATCATCTCATCATTATTCCCCTGTAAACAAAACCTCGCGCCGGCCAGAGAAAAACATCGCGTCGTGCCGGTCTCTCGCACTCAGCCAAAAGAAGAGTTCGGTAAGTATTCCGAATCTTAAATCGACGTTGGAATTTCCCAATCCCACAGAGCCCTTGAAGTATCCTCCCTGGAGCATCCCTCAGATAGTCGCGCGGGCGAACCCTTCAGGATTATGGGCGGCATGATGAATTTTTCGATAGAGGATTACTGCCAAGTCAGTTGGAGCTGGTCACTTGCCGAAGTGCCTCGTCCGAAAGACCGAGGATTCGCCTCAACGCCGTCTCTGAGACTAGCCAGCCAGAGCGATGAAAATATATTCGTGGTGCTCAGAATTCAGGCTTCGAAATTCGTTGTGATGGGACGGGGGTCATCCGTGCTCTCTCTGCACTACGAAAAAAAACACGAGCCGATATCTGGCATCAGGAACGATATCTCTCGGGAGTGATGATTCCGAATTGGCAGATAGGCAGAACGGAGCTCCCTTCTCGGCAAAGATAGGTTGAGATTCGACCACAGCTCCGGGAGGAGTGCCACGACCGCCTCTACCCCGTTGATTGCCGTAGGCAGCTCTCAGCTGATCGGACTTCCTAATGAGAACCCTCCACTAGCGTGAATGATGACACCACCTCGCAGGAATGCCCGGATCTCTTCACCCTTTCGATAGATACGAAGACTTCTGTCAAGGGAGCGAAATTAGCTCAAGCAAAACTCAAAGTTAATCTCAGAGATCGGGTCTGCTCCTCGAAGCTGAATCTGCGCTCCGGCTCACTTGCTCACCATCAAAATTAAACCGTGGCCCTGCCCTTCCTTATGGCAAATCTACCATCTCAACCAGATCGGCGAGTTCGAACACGCGCTTGCAGGAACTCCCTATCTTCGACAGAGTTCTTTGTTGCAGAATGGCTGAGCGGTACAACATCCACTCCCAGTTGGAGCACTTGCAGTCGAAGTATATCGGAACCGGACACGCCGATACGAACAAATTCGAATGGCTCGTGAATCAACATCGCGATACGTGCGCTTCTTACATCGGTCACGACAATATGTTGTCGTTCTTCGCCATTGTTGAAAACGAGACGAAAGGACGGGTGCGTTTTAACCTGATGCGGAAAATGCTTCAGCCGTGTGGCCCGCCACCCGAGAAGCCGGAGGACTAATCTGCTGGATCGATGTAAATATCTCGGTGGATTTCTAATGTGTAAATAAATGATAGCGTTTCTGAAGGAGACCCATGGAGTTGACCACGGCAGCGAATTTCCAGCGAAATTTTCTCTGACAGAAGCCTCATCCGCGTCATAGCTCAAGCCAGAGATACCAATCTCCGATGGCAAGCACTGGCTGGTGGGCTCCTGCCCACAGCAGCGGCGATTGGGTGTAGAGCAAGTACATCGTCGTTAGCTTGTCTGATGTCTCCGCGGTCCATTATTCAGGAAAGGGAGGTCTACGCTCGTTGCACCAAGAGGGCTAATAGACGTCTTTGTTTCTGTTTGAGCTCGAGCGAGGCACGTATGGGAAGTTTTGTTGGGGAATCGTTTGAGGGAACGCATTAATTTGTCATATCAGATCGCGCGAGGAAGTATTCGCAGAGGAGAAGGGCTTAGCTTCGAATGACTCACCGATGTTGACAAGTTTTAGGCCTTCGTCATCGGTGAGGAACTTCAGGCCAACGTACACGTTCTCCAGCTTCTGACCTCGGACGGTGGGTCTTTTGGAGAACTTGTACGGGCATTTCTTTCCCGAAAGAACTTCCAGCAAAGCAATGAAGCGAATCCCGTCAGCGAAGTCGGTCTCGAGCGATGCTATTGTCTTCTCTACTTGCGTCAGGTGCTGATTTACCCATCGCAAGAAGGTGTTCTGCTGGATGCGTTTCCAAACCGCATCTTCGTCGAGATTCTTCTTCATTTCTGCATCCTTCTTCTGCTGCTCTTTACTGAGCACCATCTGCAACGCATGGGACGCATCAATTAGTCGAAGATGCAAGTCTCGAAGCCCCTTGTCATCACTGACTGAGCGGGAAAATCCCCTCCACCCTAGAGAAGCCAGGGTCGCCGATTAAGTGCGAAACAGAGCTCGGAGATCGAGCGGCTGCCGAAATGTTTACAGCGAGGAACTTCGTTACGTCATTTATATGTTTAGCCTGCTAGAGAGCTTGACCGTGGGCTGGCGGTCCGTTCCGGGACTAGTTTCTAGAGAAAACAATGATTTCGCTGATATGTCTCATTCGCAAGTCGCTGGACGATGCGTCACAATCTCCAGGTCTGTCGCAATAGTTCACGGCCGAAGCGACGGAAAAACAGATTCCCGCTTAGGAGACCTAATGTCATCCCGGGATGAGTCGCTTCCTCAGGATCGAGCGATCAGAGATTTTGAGCCAATCGCCGTTTCATGATCGGGAAGCGCCTTGTGAGCGCGATGCTTGGTGGGTGTTGCTGCGGCGCTTCATGTTCCACCCCTAACGCCACAGAGCCCATTCAGGAAGCTAGACACTTCTGAAAGAGATTCCCGTGCCGAGAGCATGGCCCCATAAGGACCGGGAGTGTCCGCGTCATTTCCTTTAGTAGCGCTCTGGTTCCGGTGAACCAGCGCCGGAGAGAGCCAAACTATATTTAAAGGCTCGAGGGTGATCAGTTCTCCGACTCCGAGGACAGGAGCGTGGATGGATTGGCTCGGAATATTCCGTTGATACATTCCGGAACTTCTTGATTTTGACAAGAGCAAGGGCCGACGTTTCTTCGGTGTATTCCTACCCAGGGAAACTAGAAAGAGGTCTCCCGACGCTACCGAGTCGACGGGGATTCTCTCCCGGAGAACGAGTGAATAGCTCGTCTCCGGGAATTCTCTCGAGATGCTGCGGTGTCTCGCGATATAGGCAGTACTTTGAAATGGCCGAACACGGACCAAAGGCTGAAGACCCTTTAGCTACAGAGGTGGTGCCGGTTGAGTTGGTGGTGCTGGTGTCATCTCATCAAGCTACACGAACCGTCCGTCTGACTGGCTTGCTAACTCTGCTGGCCAACTACACCCACTGAGATAGCCCTAACACCATCGGAGTATATCGTCGGGTCGCACAAGGTCGAATGACCGGAATATTCAACAACACCCAAGTATTCGAAGCTCAGAAGAACTTCTGTCACTTGTACAGGCACCCTTCCGACATCCACTTTGCAGTCGAATCCGATTCTGATGGGGACCGATTGTCGGAGCCGTCCCGGTTTTTCCGCAAGCACACTGACTATTCCACTCAAGACTAGGAATTGACAAACCTTTATGTTATCCTCAAGTTCCCGACTTAAGAGAAGAGTAGCTCGCCGGCGTGTGATCGGCGCCTGTAGCGATCCTCTAGTGGCTCGGACCCGGCCTAAGAGTTCTGAGGGTAAGGAGACCGGGCAGAGGGTGGTTGCTTATTTAACTCGCTCGCTGACGGACGAGTGAACGAACTCTCGAAGCCTCAGTCAGAGGAATGATCGGATTTTAGAGGATGACTGTCTCGGGATCGGTCTTCGGCAACGATCATGGGAGTTGTGAACCTTGCCGCCGTAAGTTTCTCGGCCCCAATCCGAATTAGCATGGGCGAGCTCGCTCGGTACGTCGGAGGCCTGCTCAAGCACAGTCGAGACATGAGTACATACAAACCTTCCGGAAAGAGGCATCATTTTGACTAGGCGGCTGGTGGACTAGTTGGCTACAAATTCACCGGATCAATGTCGGAGATCTATGTCGGAACGCAGTCATGATTTCGACACGCGTTACTCATCCATCTCCCTTGAGCACTTATGGCGACACGCCCGTCACGGCCGCACCAACTCTCTTCCCATGATTCAGTGTTTTCTCTTTTTGGACGTGTTCGCGAGCGAAGACCTCGAAGACGACGAGTCCTCGGTTTTCTGACTGCTTTTTCTTTTCATCATCGCAGCTGATGTTTTCCCGCACCGTGAAGAATTCGGTGGAGTTTCAGTAGTGGACGATTTCCAATGAAAACGAAGCAAATCGCACTTTGTATTCATTCGCTTTAAGTTTTCCCGATTCCTCGATTGGCTATCGCATCTTCTTGCTTTCGCTCTTGTTTTTTTTCGGTGAGCAGCCGTAGAGCTTGTTAACGCGCTCGATGTCGGACTGACTCATTCCCTTCCGATTGTAGACCTCTTCGATCGCTTCTCCGTTCTTCTTCGACATGGACGGCTTTCCTCGAACGCGGGAGAAGCTCTTCGATCCGTATAGCATGACCGAGTCGTAATCGAAATTGTTGTATAGTCTGGGGAGAATGATTCCTCAAATACCCTTCGACAAAGAACTCCGGCTCACCGATGCCGAGTCGATAAGCGTCTCGGTACCCACCTGTTTTGCCAGGATCTGAGCTTGGTGAATTGCGAATGATATGTTGGGTCGACGTTCTGAAGGAAAATATCGATATGCTCATCTCGGTCAGACCTCGTATGCTCGTGGTAGAACCCGATGGCGTGTCCGTACTCGTGGATGATCGTCCCGACGTATGCGCATCCTAAAATACGGTGATTCGATATTTCTCCTCCTACGTATCCCACGCTCCACCGAACTCGAAATCCCCCGCGGGGATCACGACGGGGAGACCTTGAGTTCCCCAAATGCCGTTATGCATATACCTCTGCCTATTGAAACCGGCTGCTGTCCTCCTTGTCTGCCCACCATGGAGTAACAGCCTTGACCTTTGAAAATTCGGATGTAATCGTTCTCATTGGTGCGCGGAACGAAACGGATGCAAGTGTTCTCGTGATAGTCTTCCATGGCTTGGCGAAGGATTTTGGAATCCGCCTCAGCCGTCGCATCGATCACGTACGGCACCACACCGTTCGGCCACCTCCTTGAAATCAAATGTCACGTTCATCCGCATTAGGAGGTGCGCCCAATTTTCCTCTGTCTCATGGCTCACCAAATTAGCAAAAACATCTCACTCAGTCGACAGGCCACGTTCCGAGCTCGAGAAGCTTACTTCCAGCTCGCCGTCATAGCGTTCTTCCCGAGGGACAAAATGTCTCCCTCGAACAACTGCTCATTCTCCATGGCGGAGTTCTTGAGGATTTCGTCCACGTCATAGGCAGCCGCAGAAAACAGGGACGCCGCCATGAGAAGAACTAGGCCTTGCGTTCTCATCTTGGGTCGGCACAAGTTCGCCGAGCAATTGAGTGTTCAGAATTCCGAGTTCGACTTTTTTAGAGTTTCCCGATGCCCTCATGCTTGAAGCCCCATCACGAGCATATTCACTCGATGTGCGAGAATTCATGCGGGCGAAAATTTGATTGAATTCGGGCTCGAATTCTGGGAAATGATGCCGGTCTCCTTAAATTTTGGCATTCGCCTGTCAGGGACGTCTACAGCTCGAGCTGGTGATAATTATCTATTATAATCTGTATGGTCTCGAACACGTCTGGAGGTCCTGGTTCCTCGGCGATGACCGAAATCGCCCTCAATAGAGTTGAGGATCGATGCATAGGATACTAGCCCCCTAATGGTCAGCTCCCTCGATTTACGATAGAGCCCGTGGGATTAGGAAAATGGAATGTGAAGGAAGAGACATAGAATACGTATAATCAATTTATTCTTCAATTACTGTACACATTTACTTTGCACCATATACAGTGTGGATTTTTGTTTTTGTTGTTTGTTATGAGCCACTCCTCCTTCAACTGTTTAGACAGTTGCTCTCTGTGATCGCCCCCCGTGTCCGGTAGCATCATTTTTAAGACAATCCGCATCTTCTCCGCGTATAACTTCCGATTCCCACCTCGCAGTGGGAGTTCCAGAAAAAAGCATTTGCTCGAATAAGGTTACTACTATTCACAGTTATGAATTGGATCATTCGACTCGGTGTTTTTTGTGTGTTCGCGCGGATTCCTCATTTCCATGATTTGTCAACTTCGTTCCTTCGTCTATCACGGTCCGTACCGCCGAGAAGTTGTCACCGCAGTACGATTAAAATACACTGGCTCATCGATCGTTCGAATGAGGAAGAACATAAATTCCAAATTGAACATTCTCTTGTTGGTAAGTAAGGTTTCTTGTCACCGTTTGTGTTTTGAACGCAGCCATGCCTAAGCATGGATCGCTGCCCGCTCCAGTCGGTCTTCGCTTTGTTCTGCATCGTCGTTTCCCCCCGTGGTCGTCGTCCATCGGAAGAACGTTTCTTGTCTTCCAATGATCGAGCGCGTTCGAAACGTCCGTTCGCCTAGAACTCCGTAAGTCTGTCCCTCCCTGTCTGTGTTCACTACCTAAGAGGCCTCTCTGAGAAGAAGGTCGATAGCAAAAGTAAAATTCTATACACATCATTTATATACTAAGGTTTTGAAAACTCTCGTCCGGCGACATCCGTCGCAGATTGGGAAACCATTTTCTGGTGGTCACAGTCAATCGGTCAGTCAGTCAATCAATCAATCGATCCGTCAGTAATCAATCGGTCGGTCATCCATTTCTCTTGTCTGGCTACCGGCAGCGGCACGTTTGTCGACATGAGTTCTTCGACCAGTCCTCCTCATGTCACCTGCGGGCTCACAAGAGAGCGTCTCGCAGAGTAGTATTTCTCCTATACCATGTTTTCGCGATCATTCGAGTCGGCGAGCGATGTCCACATTCCCGCTCCGCCGTCGATTCCCTCTTGGCTCGCTATACGGAATTTCGGAATCCCCCAATTCCTCGTCCCGTGTGATATTAATAAAATCCTCCATCCACCGATCGATCGGACGGAAGAGCGAGCGAGCGAACAAACGAACTTCGAGCACGAAACTGAGGAGCCACACGGTCGACGCTCGCCACTCTCCAGGATTGTAACTCCGGTCATAACACAATCTCCCTTTGGAATTCCAGAGTTTAGGGTGCGCGATCCGAACGCTGTTCGAGTCCGCCATAATGGAGGCTCCCGGATACCCCACCTGCACGACAATGGTTGCGCTGTTGATGCTTCACGGTCGTTACCTACTCGTTAACTATCTAGCTAGCTATGTATTCGGAAATCCGGTCCATCACGACCGGTTCCCGACTGTCCCGCGTCCTGCCTGTTCATTGAACTTCATATGTATACGCTATCTACAAAAACGAAGAGCGCACCAATCGATAGATAGACAGATCAATCGATCGAGTCGGCGGTCCCCGTTGGAAAACATTCGAATCAATCGGCCACCATTTCCATCACAGCCTGCAGCGACCATAGTCAGCCTCGTACTCGTCACCGTTCATCCTCATCGACAAGTTCAGCGTCCCGTCGAATGCGACCTCCCCCTCGGTCGGCAGACGCGGGGCTCACGATCATGTGAGGACCTGGCGCGGGAATGATGATGATTAGAAAACTGATTGATTTTCCTTGGTAGTTGAGCGAGTGACTGAGTGAGTGAATGAATATATTAAGCAACGGCCGCGGTCGCAGCTTGAATCGATTCCTGATCCTCCTTGAGCGACTTGGTGTTATTGCTCAGAGCGTCTTTAAGTTTGGCGTTTCCCTCGTGTTTCGTCTTCTCTTGAACGTCCCCGTTCTCGGTCGTCGACGTGTCCATCGGCTCGGCTTCGTTCGAGGAGTTAGTGGTTTCGGTTCTTTCGGATATCGACTCGCCGGACATCGCGGTGGTCGTCGACGTTTCCGACGTATTGAGAGAATTCATCGAAACCCCGTTGTGGTTGGAATTGGTTTCCATTGCTACGGACTCCTCTTCGATTTCGGCGGGCGCCGTGGTTGCCGATGACTCCGAGACGGTTTCTTGGTCGTTGGATTCCTCGTTCGTTTCCTCTGGATCGGTTTTCCCGAGACGTTCTTTGTCGGAATCCTGCTGATCTTGCCGATGTTGTTTCTGTTGTTCATCGTCGACCTCGTCCATTTCTTCATCGTGGACCGAGCTGCCCTTGCTCGACTTGTCGTCTTGTTGCTCTCGCTGTTGTTCCTCTTGTTTTTGCTGTTTCTCTTCTTCCTCGGGTTTCTCGGCTTCGACTTCGGCTCGTGGCTCGAAAGCCGGCTCCGGAGGATCGTCACACTGAGCCACCTGGTAGAGGACGTCGGCGACGTTGGCGGCCACTCCCTGGTCGAGGATCTGCGACATCACCAGCGTCAGGAGTCTCTGTTGCTGTTGCACGAACAATGGACGGTTTTCCGGAACTCGCGCCAGAATCTTCAGAGTTCCAGCGGCTCGCCTCACCATGTCCAAGGTGGTGCCCATGAGCTCCGGGTTCTCGCGCAACGCGTTGATGCCCTGTTGGTTCGCGACGTTCAGTGCGCTCTGTTCGGCCTGTTCGACGAAAGCCAAAAGGTGCGAGACGGTGCTGCCGGCGGCGGCTACCGCCCTCGACACGTAGCTGTCGGCTGGGACCATGTTCGAAATGAGCACGACCGAGAACTCCCGCAGCACTTGATCCTCGCCGCGCGCGAGCCACCGAGACAGCTGACCGATGAGACGATCGACCCGAGACCACGGGGGTGTCGCCAGCATCAGATCAACGTTCATCTCCAGCACCGAGAGCTTGCAGAGCGATTCGACCGCAAGCCTCTGTAACGAAATGCTCGAAACGCCCGACAGAGGATCCCGGGCGCAGGCCGACTCACAAACGGCCCAGTGCAGAAGTCCGTCCAGGATGGGGAGCGAGATCTCCTCGGGATAGGGTTCGAGATCGAGGTGAGTTGAGATGTTCGCCAGCGTCACCAAGCTGTTCTCCCGGAGGATGGCCAAGTACTCCCACCACCACTCGTCTTCAGCTGTGAGTGAACAACATTGCTCGATGCCGTCGTTACTCGAGTTGAGGCTGCTCGTTGAGTCGCCCGGAGTCGGCTCGCTCTTCGCAGCGGCTTCTGCGGCCTCCCTGACGGATTCCTTCGAGTGCGCCGTTCGTGGTTTACGCGCGTTGTGTTTATGGTTCAGCAGAAGCATCCGACCGATTATCAAGAGCAAGCCCGAATGTCTCGCGAGCTCGGTCTCGTTGCCGGGAACGAAAGAAAGATTGCGAATCACTGTCGACAAGATGACGGTTCGCTTGCCGAGCGATTCTTGCTGGTCGGTCAACGTACACAAGGACGGTTCGTCCCGCGTGTACGCTTCGTCGTCCATATCCTGCTCCCGCCGTCTTTTCCTCGCGCTTCGGACCTCGTCGTCGCTGAGCTCGCCATTGAAGAGAACGTCCTCGATTTCACGCTCGATATCTTCTCGTCGTTGGTCTTCGTCTTCGTGTCGTCGTCGTTGTTCTTCGTCGTCTTCTGCCCGGGTATCTCGTCGCTGCTGCTGCTGCTGCTGTTTCTTGATCTGCTGCGATGGCGGCGATGGTTTTGCAATCTTCTCACCCGCTCGTTGTTCTTCGTGCAGACGAAAAGCCCACTCGAGATCGTCGGATTTGCCGTCTTTCCCCTTGAGGAGTCGACAGAATCGAACGTTCTGCCTTTCGCTCTCGAAGTGGGTTATGATATGAGATGTTATTTCGCCGGCCCCTCGAGCCCAATGGTCGTAGCCGCCCTCGAAATCCTCCCACGGCTCGGGCTCCTCGATGTGACCGCCTTTCTCGAGGAACTTCAGCAAGCCGCTCGGCGTGACTCGTTCCCGAACCTTGACTGGTTTTCCGTCCAACGTGACGTTGTTACGCTTGGCGAAACTCAGGTCGAGCATCGGTGCTTCTTTCGAGAGTTTGAATTTTTTCGGTGGCTCTGCGCTCTTCGCCTCGTCGACCTTCTGTACTCGAATGTCTTTCTCGAGTAGGAACCACGGTCGAGTCGCTGCCTTATCGCCCCGTTCGGAGTCTTTGAGGTCCGACTGTTTAGAATAATCGAAACCCAGTTCGAGGTCGTCGGTGATTCCGAACATTTCGGAGAGGCATTTCCGATAGTGTTCTAGTAGAGTTTCAAGGAATCCAGGTAAGTGTTGTAGCCCGAAATAGAGAATGGTGTTGTCGTCGTACATAAGAATCGAGATCACATCAAGAGCCCAAGTGCTTTCCGCAAGAAGGCCCGATTTGAGACTCATCATGAGTCTCCATGCGTCGACTGGGGCGACGTCTTTTGAGTAAAGCCGACGCCTCTTGGTCGTCAATGGTGTCACGGCTTCAACGCAGTCCGAAGGAATACTGAGGTCCTTTCGCGCCGCCAAATTACTGAGCCCACCGAGCGTTCCCGGTCCGCCCATCGGCGGTTGCGGCATCTTCTGCTGCATGCCACCGTAGGGTTGCGGAGGACCGACACGGCCCATTTGGGCACCCATGTACGGGGGTCCCATCTTGTTGGGAGGCGTCGCATTGAGCCAATCTGGACTGCCCTGAGGGGGTCCCGGCCATCTTTGATCGGAGAACTGCGGCCGCGGACCCCAAACGGGCATTCCCGGCCCACTTGGAGCGGAGTTCTGTCTTCCTCCCGGCGGATAGCCTGGCATTCCAGGGGGACCGCGCTCTGCAATCGATGGAGTTCTTAGATCGGCGATCGATATTCAGCGAAGGGGGAAAAATACTTCCGACACAACGGAAAAGCTATCCGAAGAGGGAGAAAATACGTGATTCCGTCTCTGTGGTTGGTGGAAGAATTTGACTCTTATATTTACCGTAGCCTTGGGGTCCTCCGTAATGAGGTCCCTGCTCTTTGACGAAGTCTGGATGCCTCTTGCTGTAGAACTCTGGCCTTGGAGGACCTCGCATGTTCGGCGGTCCTGGAGGGCCAGGAGGATAGCCTCGCATGTGCGGTCCGTTGTGCCCTGGACCTTGCGAGAAAGGTTTCTGGAAAGAAGGCATTGCTCAATTAGGGCGAGTTCGGCTGGCGGGGGGCCTGGGCTCACGAAGGGGGAGCTTCTCCTACAATCAGATAGTGAACAGATTCCGTCTGGTGAGTCCGAGAAATTCCACTGACCGAAGGAGCTTGGGAGTCATAAGGAGGTCCGCGGTTCGAGCTCGAGTCCGGAGGCGCTTGATTTGGAGCACCTGGAGGCATGCCCTGATGATGGGGTGTCGGCGGCATTCCGGGATGTCCAGGGTAGCCGGGACCGGGCATCGGAGGTCGTACACCAGGACCCATGTGGGGAGGATATCCTACAAAGGAATAGGAATCGATTACTTCAGTGCATCCATGATGATGATACAAAGTTTTTTTCAGCATCTGTGTTGGTATACGGGGAAATTCTAGCGCGCTCCGTGTTCTACATACCCCCGTAATGCTGGGGTGGTAAGCCGTGCGGCCCGTGAGGACTCGATGGGGGCTGTCCCGGTTGCGTCGGAGTCGGCGGTACGGCTTGAGAGGTAGCTGGAATACCCTGACCGGGAAGAACTCCCTCCTGCTTCACATGAGGCGACTGAGGACCCGCTTCCGGTGCACCTTGTGGCCCGGGAGTATGAGTCGGGCGCGGAGACGCGACCGCCGGAGACTGAGATCGACTCTGAATCATTGCGGGACTCTGCGGCGGCTGACTCTGAGGAGTGGGAGGTTTTTCCGGGAAAGGACTGGCCGCCGCCGGTGGCGGAGTCGGCTGAGGTGACTGGTGTTGTTGCTGTTGCTGCAGCTGCTGCTGCTGCTGTTGTTGTTGGTGTTGCGCCTGCAGTTGTTGTTGTTGCTGCTGCTGCATCTGCTGTTGTTGTTGCTGCTGCTGCTGCTGCAAGTGCTGTTGTTGCTGCAGGATTTGCTGCTGCTGCTGATGTTGTTGCTGCTGTTGCTGCTGCAACATCTGTTGCTGCTGCTGCTGCTGCTGTTGTTGTTGACTCGTGGGTGGTTGTTGCGGTACGCCCGAGGGAGGTCCGAACTGTTGTTGTTGGGGATGAGGCGGAATTTGTTGTTGAGGTGGTTGTTGCTGCTGCGGGCTCGGTACCACTCCTTGTTGGTAATCCGGGGGAACTGGACCGTTTCCGTGAACGGGAGTCTGCGCATGAGGGGGGTAAGGAGGTCCTCTCTGCTGTTGTTGTTGCTGCTGTTGCTGCTGTTGTTGTTGCGAGCTGGGCGGCACTGGCGGCGGATAACCTGGGGGGTAGCCATGCGGATATTGCGAAGGATCCATACCGGGGTGTGGGGGACCTTGAGGTGGGTATGGACCAGGCTGCATCGCACCGGCTGAATGACTGAACGGTTGGCCAGGATGAGCGGGATGTCCCTGATGCGGTCCAGGGTGGGCTGGATGAGCGACGTGTGCTGGATGCCCTGGATGCGCCGGATGACCAGGGGGAAGATGAGCGGCCGGATGACCGGGGGGATATCCAGATGGTGGGGGCGGTCTGCCGTCGGGTCCGTAACCCTGGGGCGGAGGTGGATATTGAGAGGGAACAGTAACAACTGGAGGTGGAAGCGTCGCCGGAGACGCTGCGGCTGGTGGACCTCCCTGGTACTCAGGGTGGTACTGGCCGGCTGGCATGGAAGGGGGTGCTGGGTTTGAGTTGGCATTTGGTTCTTGCGGCGAAGCAACAGCTGCTGCAGTCGCGTTTTTCTTCTTGCGAGCTGCAGGACTCTCGAGCGAGTTAATGATCGGTTGTGGATCGATATTACCCCGGTCGAACCTGCACTCGTACGGTAACACGTGCTTTGTGTACTGTTTGCGTAGAGTATACGCCGCACTACTAGATGCCCCTACATTCAACAGCCCCGCGATGTCCTTCCAGGCCTTTTGCTTCGTGACCTCCATAAATCCTCCACGATCTCGCACCAACGCATACAATCTATACAAATCCAATGGCTGTTTGGAGATCGTCGGATTCGTCGTAATAGCCGTTCCCTTCTCTTCGTTGAACCGGAGTAACCGCTCGATGAATTCTTTACGTTCGGGTTCAGGTCCCAGGTCATATTGTTTTTGGATTGAATTGCTGCCTTTCGAAATGACTGGCGTGGTCGTCGGCGGCGGCGGAAGAGCTGGGGGTCCTGGCGTCGTGGGCGTCGTTGGCGCCGTTGTTTGTTGAGCTGACGGAGGCGTTTGGTTGTGGAAACCTGCTTGTCCGGGCTGGAAAAGGGAAATTCTCCCGATTATTCTCCAGGGACGGATATTCGGGACCTCGGACGGAGGAACCCTTGGAACATAATTATCGTGGATATTCATTTTTGTTTTTATGGTCTCTGATAATAATATTGATAGTTGACGCATGGAATGAACAGCGTCGACGCCTCTAAAATGAACGAAGACACGAATAGCGGAATCCATCAGCTTCGTAAACTTACGGGAAAACCTTGTGAATGCGGCTGCCACTGCTGCCCCTGCGGGAGAGGCGATGGAGCCGGTGAGCGTGAGTTCGCACCTCCGTCGTAATCTTCAGGAAACGAGGACATGGAACGAGGCGACGGCGTTGGACCGCCAGGATGTAATCGATTTTGGCCTTGATTGCTGCTGCTACTACTGCTATTGTTGTTGGTAGTAGTGTTAATATTTGTATTATTATTATTGTTGTTGTTGTTCGTTGTTGGAGGCATTTGGTTTGAACTGGAATCATCCGCTGTCGACGACGAGGCTGACGCGTTCGAAGCTTGACTCCCTTCGTCGAAAGCCGACGGTGGCTGAGAGGTAGGGGTCTTATCGCTGCCTGCCGTCGGGCCGTTGGCTCTGGGGGACATCGATCTGTCGGGAGCGGGTGACGGCGATCCTCTGGCGGGACCTCCCGCGTGGGCGCCGGGATGAGCTCCTGGATGACCGCCGGGATGCGGACCCGGGTGGCCGACAGGATGACCTCCTGGATGCATTCCCGGATGACCAGTCGCGGGATGGACGCCCGGATGCGTCCCTTCCTGCATCGGTGGCGTCATCGGACTCGAATAACCGTAAATCTTCTGTTGTAAATGCTGCCTCAAATACGTGGGATGTCCTCCCGGATGACGCGGTGAGCCCGGTGAACCCTGCGGTGGACCTCCCGGCCCGCCAGCCGTTACGTTCGGAGGTGGGGGACCTCCTCTCGGCGGTGGGTACCCATACTGACTTGGCGGGGGCATCATGCCGCCTGGATGTCCGGGGTGTCCCGGATGACCGGGGTGTCCGGAATGAGCAGGATGTCCTGGATGGCCTGGATGAGCCGAGTGCGCCGGATGGCTTGGATGGCCAGGATGTGCCGGATGTCCGGGTGGAGCGCCCTGGTGGTACATTTGATTCGGCGGAGGTCCGGTTGGATATCCCCCCTGTTGAGGAAACCGCGGATATTGTCCGTATCCAGGAGCACCGGGAGGAGGGCCGTATCCTGGTCGTGGAGGGTAACCTGAAGGAAAGGAACACGTTCACTGAATTGTAAGGATTATAGGGATTCGGTTTCACGAACATTCTGTCCCGAGGTCGGGGATTGAGTAGGGGGGGGAAACGAGAATTACCTTGAGGGTATCCCATCGGTCCATATCCTCCAGGCGGAGCTGGGGGTCCCGGTGACATTTTGTTCGGGGGTCCGCCGGGCCCAAACGAATTCGGCGGTCCGCCCGGATAACCCTCGTGGGGTGGTCCACCGTGATTGGCTGTTAGGGACAGAAAGCATATCGGTTAGAGGTGTGACATCCGTGAGCGGTGTCCTTGGAAATTTCCATCAACACGATCCTCTGGAGCGATCGGTCGAAAACTCACGGGTGTAACCTGAGGGCGACATCGATCTGGAACCAGGATTCGAGGCTGGTGAAGCCCCTCGCGGCGGTCCGTCATTTGAGCTATCGTCCCCGGCGCCTGAGCGGTTCTCCTGCAACGAAATAAAGGCTTGTAATCACCTGAGAATTCCATAGGGGGCAATCGGGACCCGGGGGGTGCTGGGGGGAGTGGTTGGGGGGGGAGGGATGGGGAATTTCGACTTTCTACAGGAGCAATTAGGGATTCGACTTCACTTGGACCTATACTCCGCCGTTGTATTCTTCCGCTTCTATCTACTAATAATGCCGGCCTCGGCCCATCAATTCGTCATTCAATTTGAATTTGGAAGCGGATCGCGGAGGGGAGCGCTGATTTTCTTAGCGCTGGACCGACGGCGTTCAGAAATTCAAGACGTCGTGTTAATCGAGGTTTTATTCAGGCAGTCTGGACGAGTCTACGAAAGACCGCGACCGATGTTCAAAGTGTTTGTTGGCTTCGTCCGTCTTCATTGACGTTTCGCCGGTATTGGTATTGGCGGCGGCGGCGCGTCGTGGACGACGACGGCGGTTCTTATAGTGAAGGCGGCTGTGGTTGCGACGCTGATGGCGGTGGTAAGCGCCCGCGTGCGTCATCTGTGTTGCTCGATCGCTCGCTCGCCGCGTCTATCGGCGGCGGTCGGCCATCCTCTCAAGAGTGTTTTTTTTCTGGCACCGACCAGTTCCCGGCTTGGATGGCTGCTCTGTTGGATTGTTGGGTTGGCTGCTCACTCGCTCGCTTGGCTACGGAGCAGACGGCCGACTACGACGAGGAAGCCGTAATCCCGACCAAGACGATGGAGATAGCTGCCAGTCCGTCGCTGCTTGGTCGGTCGGTCTGCGTTGTGCTGCCAGTCTGTCAGTCAGCTGGTGCACTCGCTCAGCGGTTAGCCAGAAAGCATTCGTTCGTACGAGCGATCGGGCGGGCGGTCAGGCAGGCAGGCAGGCGGACGGCAGCCAGACCATCCTTTCCATGTTGACGTGCCGCCACCATCGGAGCAACCGGCATCAAGAATCAAAGAGGAGAAGGAAGACCCAGTGAGCCAAGAGAGAGCCATCTTCGGACCGAGGCAGCGTCGTTCGGCAACGTTTCTCGGTGCTTGTTGTTGTTCTTCAACCCGTTCGTTACTTCAGCTTCCTTCGTTCGGCCGTCGCCTGTCCGATTCGAGATGGCTGCAAGCGAATGAGTTGGCCGAGACGGAGCAGAACACGGCGGCGAAAAGCCGTCGTTCCATCTGTGCGTACGGCGGTAACGTCTTTCGAAGAAAAACAAACTGCCGTCGCACCGCGCTGACTCAGTCTCGATAGGAATCGCGCAACAAACACGCATATGCGAACGCTCGCAAGGAGAAGTGGAGGAGACGAAAACTTCGGGAGATAAGCCACCCCATAGAGAATCACTTGCAACATCAGCAAATGAGAGACTACAAGTATGATACTCCTCGGACATTTCGAAAAATTCCGCTCTTAAGCTCCCGAATTCCCCCCCTCCCCCCCATACTGTTGATGAGTTCTCAAGTTGGGTTTGGGAACCCGAAAGGAATTCAAACCGTTGGAGACTTCATCCGATCGACTTGCGATGGCCTGTGAGCCGATGCAGTCAGTTCTCAGAAAAATGGGGCTCGCTCAATCGCGTTTTTCATAGCCCGCTCTGAAGACCGCAACGGCGACGAAATGTTTCAAGGTCGGGCACAGAGCTTCCTTGTTTCCCTGACATTCGCATGTCTAGCCGAAAGCGGCGACAACGACAACAGCCGTGACAATCACGCTCAAAGGTCACTGAACCCCGCTTTTTCTTCTGAAAGTAGCAACCATACAGCAGCCAGACAAGAATAGGAGTCTGGATTGCTTAAGGAGAAGAGAGTTCGATCTCCGATGCTAGGACGAGAGTTCCAGGGTTCTGCGCTAGGGGGGACTTGTACCAGCCCGGGTTCAAATCGAGAGGATCGAGGGAGACAAAGCGGTGTCGTGCCGACACAGAGAAGTTCCAACCGACCGATGGTACCGCGAAGTCTTCAAAATTGAAATCGAGAAGTCGAGCACGACACGACCTTGATCAAGACCTCTTCGGCTCTTCGGACTAGGTCAATGACGATTGACGTCGCTACTGTCTGGAGCGCTCGCCGCGTTGGTATCGACCGGTCAACAATGCCGCCAACGATCCGCGCTGGGAGCGATTAGTCAAGTCGACCCGAGCTTCATCTACCGAAGGGTCGTAACGATCTCGGCGTCGTAACTCGACTCGCCCCGGCTTCGCTCCCGCATAAGTTTCGGGACAGAAGCGCTCAATGTCATCTTTGTCTCCCATCTCGATGAATGCTTCGCGCTTCGGGACCGCCGATCCGGTAAGTTTGTAGTTGAGTCATCAGAATTTCGGGCTCGATCGACGAACTCAGTGTTATCAGAAGATGAAATGAGACGACGGTCTTCAATCGCTTATTCTGAGCGAAAGATAAATCGCGCCTTGAATCAGACGCCCGACACACGAGCGTATAGACGAGCAGACGGACGGACGAATAATTGAGCTAGGGAAAGAGCAGAGAAAATACGGAGCCAAAGAAAGTGAAAACAGAAGACATGAGAGGGTCTTAAGTTTCCCCTCAAGATCCCGTTAAAATCATCGATCAAACGTTGCCGAGACAAATTATTATCAGAGCGAAGCTGAATGATCGTCAGCTGAGAATCGACGCGATCGGACTACCGACAAAGGGATAAGACTGAGGCTCGATTCGGGAGAAAACTCACTGATTTCCCCATTCATTAAGTTGCCGAATGATCCTCTTTCCTTCCACAGCAGACGGCTGGCGCTCACCGTTTAGGCTTCTGTCAGTCCGATTTCAGCTTTGGGATGTCGAAAAAAAATAGCTCCGACGACACCGCGAACGCGAAACGGCGCGCGACCGATCTGGCGCCGTTCGATTCCTTCAGATAGCGCGGAACTCAATGCCGCGTACACTATGCTACTGCCACGTCTGTCGATGCTTCTCGGGCTCAAGACCCGTCCAACGATATGTCCCTGCTGACTTTTCTCTATAGGTAAATGGTGATCCTATTCTGCGTGGAAGAGAGGGAGCACCGGACAGAAGCCGCAGGATCTTCGCATCCTGACTCGGGTTCGATTGATCGAATGGAGCCTCTAATTTCTAATGGAGCATCTCTCAAGGAACCCCGTTCGAACCACGGGCTCACATATGGAGCTTCTACGTTCGATCACTACAACCGTGATCACATGGGGAGCATGAAGCTGCAATCGCCTATCTGTCACGATTGCTTGCGGCGCGGCGTTAATTCTTTCTTCATTCAGCCCTCCCTACTCGACTCGTTCCTTGAAACGAGTCGCTGTCGCTTTATCTGCGCCGATCCAACCGAAGTCCCCGCGTCGAATTCAACATGTAACTGTGCAAGTCACATTGAGACCAATACACCGGGACCGAGGTCACCTCCTCACGAAAGTATTCTTCTCCACCAGGTTCCAAATTCAGGGGTAGTGGGGCGACAGAGTCGAATCTGCACACCCCGGTGATCCCGGGAGGACATAGGTGATTCCCGACGCCTCCAAGGAGTATGATGCGGCGTCAATCGCCATCTCTGAACGCTGTCCCCACGAATCATGCTCATTTTCGATCTTTCGATCATTTATTTGCTCACTACTTCATTTCGGTCAATCGAGCGTTCGCACCTTTTGAAGGCGGACGAGGTGTGACTCCGGGAGGAGAAGAAGACGACGACGACGACGACAATCAGAACGAGGACGAGCAGAAGCCCAATTAAGTCGTAACAACTTCTTTCTCATCGCGGTGCCGTGCGCGCGAGCGCCCATCAGAGTCCGCGCGTGCC